GTTTTTGGGTTAGATCGCGTTATTTATAAATGTGTCGAAGCCCTCCACCACCCGACACGGCCAATCAGAAAAATAAAGTGTCACGTTGACAAAAGACAATTAGTTGACTACTTTAGCCCACCGGTGTGTTACTTTCTGTCCACTCAGAATTTTGGGCCTTTGTGCCTGTGCTCAACTTATCCATTATTACTGTGTCAACTTCACACCTGGAGAGGATTTAGCAGGACAGAAGCTATGGTGAGGTGTGGTGGCATTAACGCGTTAGCAACGATGACCTCTTGACCTTGACGTGGTAATGACTAGGTCAAACAGTGATGCACAATACACACGGCATATAGTGGACAGTTCCCTCGCATCGAAAACCAGCCCGCCCTGGGCAAGCTATTCGCAACGCACTTTGTATCGTCAGACTATACGGCAAAGCCGGGTGCACGTTAACGCGTGCCCGCAGCACGTGCCTCCCAAGCTAGGGGTTTGTGTGTGCCATCAAGTAGAGCGCGTGTTGAGAAGCCGCGGTGAAAAGCGGCCACGGGGCAAACGGAGGCCACCGCGGAGCCAGCATCTTCCAATGCGGTGGCGATTCGCTCGCCGTCAGAAAGTCTCCGGCGTCTGAGCAGAACGGTGGACAACGCAAGCCTCTTGAATCTCTCGACGCACGCGTGGAGCCTGCCTCCCCGTCGTCGCCGGTATTGAACTGTTAGCCCCTTGCCGCGCTCAATCTTCCCCGCACCGCACGATGTGACGGTTCCCCTACACGGGAATTGCAATCAGCAAGAGACACATTTGATGGGCAACATTTGTTGACTGAGCGTTGCCCAGAGATAAGGGAGGAGGTGGGCCGAGGTGGGGGGAAGGGGAATTAGTAAAGTAGAGATGGAGTAAAATAAATTGAACTCAAGGCCCTTGTGGAGGTGATGCATTGAATCGACAGCTTAACAGGTCCGAAGATAAGAGCAGATTAATGGAAGAATTGTAACTTGCCAATCCACTCCTGATTGAAAGCCTTCCTGTGCTGTGGGTCATGGTAGTAGTTTGAACTTACTTTACCATGCTGGTCAGTGCGAGTTGGTGAAGGGGAGTTGGAGGGGGGCGGTGGTGGGTGGTGTCTGGGCCCAGAATATGTTTAGCTATCGCTCGCCACTGATGTTAGCCGTGGCCAAGGATTAAAAACTCAGGTCGCTGCTTTGGGTCCATAGCACAGTTCACAAATCACTCTGCCACCGTCATTGTATGTCTCCCTATTCACCAAAAGCTTGTTTTTTTTTTGCCAATGCGTCCGCATCCAGTATTCTGCTTTTTATTGTCCAAACACCGACACCTACAACTCACGCGTTTGCAAACGCTCAAATAAATTCCCCGCGGTTGTTGGCAAATTGTCGAAAGGTGAATCGCCAGGTTATTTTCTGACAGCGGTCACATCGCTTCGTACGTCTTCGTCTTCTCTTGTACGGAGGGGCGTGGTGATCGACTCGGTGCGTGTGCAGGAGGTTGGCGAGTGAGCCAGTGCACGGCCTGCGGAGTGATGGAAGCGGCCAATGGGTTTGAGATTGGTGATCGCAGTCTCACTGTGGGCTATCTTTAATAGCAAGGCCGTAGACATGGAGTCAACATTGGGGGGGACCAAATATTTCAGGTGGTCTGGGTGTCCCCCCCCCCCAGAAAAAAAATCTAAATTTAAAAACGAATTTCCTGCCTAAAATATAAAAAATTCACTGACACATAGGATTGACTTATTTTTAAATAATAATGTCTAATAGTGTATTGTATTACATTGCTCTGTTTTTTTCTTTTTTACCTTTTCTTGTTTCATTGTATGTAATGGCAGAGATTAGTGATTCATAAAGTACAACCATAATCACAATCACATAAACAGAAATCTATTTTATAGCAATATATTGGGGGGGGGGGGGGGGGGGAATTTTAATAGGAACTGGCACCCTCAAAGTCGACCCCAACACCGTGGCTGCCCTGTGCTGTCACATCATCTCTCCCCCACCCATCCGCCGTGACGCCGCACGCCTCCGAGAAGTATTGCGCAATGAGGGAAGCAGTCGCCTTCCCATTCACCAGGACCTCAATAACGTCTCTCGTCACGCAAGTCCTTTTGTATCCGTGCGCTTAACCTTCAACGATGCGACTTCAACCCCGATGAAGCTTGGACTGCTGAATGGAGGTCGAAATAACTCACAAACAAACACCTTGGGGGCCATTCACTCTGGTTCTTTCGGTAAAGTCACGTAGAAAGACCTTGGGGGCCGTCCATAAATGACGTCACGCACCAGGGGGGGGGGGAGGTTAGACATTTGTGACGATGTGTGACGAGGGGCGGGGGGGGTGAGAAATGTGACGTCACATCAAAATGCGCAACTTTAAATAAATATAGGCAACACGTTCTACTTAATGAAATAGACTTTTTCATAAATGTTCTCTCCTACAACATCAGAGTGCAGCGCCACATTAAATACGCACTACAATGACAATAGTTTAAAGCGATTTGAAGCATGTTTTATTTTTTGGGGGGGGGGGGGGCACACCCACAAACAAACCCCCATGTGAAAAGACCCAACGCAGAAGATCCCTGGGTATGATCTTCCACGAAGCTCATGGTCCACCTTAAACCGCATCCGCACAAACCATAGCAGATGCTGGTACCTGATGGAGAAATGCAAAATTAAAATTCTCCAGTGTGCCACGTGGTCATCCAGAACAGACCGCACAACGTATCACGACGCAATGCCCGATCCACAAATGGGAAGGAGACATCACAGCGATGAAACACCACTTTTTTTATTCACTTTATTTTTATTTTATTTTTAATCTACGTGACTTTACCGAAAGAACCAAAGAAGACTATATACCACTTCGCTGCTCCTGACGCGGTCACCTGGGTTGACCACCTGAATGTGACATTGTAGTTGTTGCTGCTCTGCGTGTACATCAGATACACGAACTGAGAATTGCCCAATCGGTGTTGCTGTGACAGTCTTCCATATTCTCCGTGTGCTGGTCCCTGAGTAAATGTGGAGGGGAAAAACCGGAGGACTCGGAGAAAAATCCACGCGACCACGGGGGAGAACACGCAAACTTAGAATATTGTATACATGCGTTGGTGTCGGCATCGAACTCACGACCTCATGTATACCAGGCGAGGTAGTGAACATCTCGCCAACCCGAACCTATTAAAATTGTGGCTGTAGATGGCGAGGCGTGTGATGATGACCAGGGATCATATAATACATGAAGTGAGAGGTGGCAGAAAAAAAAGCGTTGTTGTGCCTGCTACGGGGAGGAGAGGGTTGTGCTGTGCTTAGGTCCCTGAGTAGAGTTAACATTTAAATACAATTAAAGAGTTTGTACTGGATTCAAGCGACACTTGGCTTTTCTGGGTTCCGTAATGAGTGCTGGTTCAACTACACCAGGGGTGGGGAACGTCCGGCCCGCGGGCCGCATAAGGCCCGCAAAACCATTTGGTCTCTGGCCCTGCCAAGGCAACCGCAGGCGGGACTCGAAATTCAATAAATCTAGGAGCAAACCTGGAAAAGCAGTTGCGAGTAGCAACATCGTCAATACCGGCTAACATCATCACACGCCTCGCCAAAGAGAAGCAGTTCCAGCCCATCGCATTAGGGGCGAGTTAATGAAATGTTTGACCAAATACAACAGGCTAATTTGTTCAAGTTGATCATTTTTGTATGGCCCGCGAATGATGTTATAAATACTATAACAAATGGCCCTTGGCAGAAAAAGGTTCCCCACCCCCCCCCCCCCACTGCACCACGCACACGCCACCAGAAACAACGAAAGGAGGCTGCTCGTGGATTCGAGGACGTTGACACAAATGAGACTGACCACCGGCACGTGACTGGTACGTGGCCCTGGCCAGGACACGTCGTGTGGCCGGAAGGGCCGGCCAAAAGCATAATAACGGAGTGGCAGCAAAGTGGTGGAACGCGTCGAGCGTGGAGATGGAGCCGCGAATTAAGTTCACGTGCAGGTTTCTCGTAGTCTTGTTACATTGTAAAAAATAAAAATTGTGACAAGTTTTTTTTTTGGGGGGGGGGGGGGGGGGGTGGTGGCGGCTTTTTGGACGGGATTATTAACATCGCTGTCAACCCATCACCGTTTACCCCGTACTTTCGTGCAGGGAAATTGAATTTTCAGGTCCATACGGCGTACAGCCGTTTCAATACGGGCTACATTTTGTGGTGTATTTGTTTGTGTTTCTCCCTTGTGATGGGACTTTGTAGGATTAAACGTTGAGATTTATAATGGCAAGGGTTGACCAATAAGGTCTGAATGGGTTATAAGGTAGGGCACTGACAAGGGGTTGACATGTATGTAGTGGTGAGTGTACTGGTGGTGAGTGTAGTAGTGGTGATTGTCTATTTGTGATTCTCCCTTGTGATGGGACTTTATAGGATGAACGTTGAGATGTATAAGGGCAAGGGGCGACCAATAGGGTCTGACTTGGTCTGTAATAAGGTAGGGCCAGTGACAAAGGGGGTTGACATGGATGCGTTCATCCAGCAGTAGATCGAACGTGGCTTGATGTCGCTGCACGACGACATTCCAGCCCTGCCCACTCCCCCGCACAGTCTCAGGTCCCAGTGACGTCCACACTTACATAAACTCCTTCTTTCTCCCATTTTAGTAAATAATTTTAGCTGTGGTTTTCACACCTGACGATGATTGCTTGTGTTGCAATCGAAACGGCGTGATTTTACTTATTAATTTTTTATCTTTTATTTTTATTTTCTTTACCTACGTGACTTTACCGAAAGAACAAAGACCTTGGATCCTTGCAAGTCAAGGAAAAACTTCAAATCGAGAATGAATTCCGGCACCATTCAAACCCCGACGCCTCGGCGAATCGACACGTCGAATCGAGCACACGTGGACGCGCGTGTGCCGGGCGAAAAAACGCGCAAACCCGATCCGATCCGAGAATCTATTCGTCCACCTCCCACACCTCGAGGACGGGGGAATCGGCGCTCGCGATTAATCATTTAACCGGTGCGAATCGACTCCACCTTCCTCTCTCTCTCTCCAAGCGGGGCCTCCGTGATGGCGACCGCTGGCGCTGAGGAGGCGGCGGCGGCGGCGTTGGCCGAGGCAGAGGCGGCTACACTCACCTTGGAGAGTATCCCTCCCTCGCCGCCGCCCGCTTTCCCGCACTTGTACGGAGCGTCGCGTGGCGTGGCGTGGCGATTGCGACGCCGTGACCCAAACCTCTGCTGGTCGAGCCACGTAATATGAATGGGGCGTCCACTGTACACGGCGCTTGCCACCCGTCCCGTATCGGGGCCGGCTTCTTCGTTCCGCGAGTCCTGTGCGGCTTTCGGTCCGGTACGCGCGGACGTTGTTGGCAAAGTGTCACGACGTTTACTCTTACAGCAATCGGCCGGATAGACACTTTCTTTCGTTAATTTTTTTTCACGTGAGGTTTTTATGCGTGTGTACGGTGCGTTGGACTTCTTTCGCGCCGTACGTTTCCGACCGCGCCAACCTCGAGGTGGTTGCGGCGGTGGCGGTGGTGGCGTGGGGCGGTCTGGAAGGACTGGAATCGGTTCTCAACCTGCGCTGGTTCCAGTGCGGGTTCGGTGAAGAGAGGTGCCCGGGGGATAGGGCTTGGGAATGGGAATTTTTGTTTCTCTCTCACTGCGCCCGTCTTGAACGCGCGGTGATGATGGTCGCTGCTCAGTAAAAGCGTTGTCCATGCGTACGTGGCTGCCCCCCACACACCCTGCTTGGCTTTCCGAGCTTTTGACGGGGGGCCCCCCCCCCCCCGTTTGGAGCGCCTCCGATTAGCAGGGTTGGTAACGCACGGCGCTAAAGAAGTTGAACCTAGGTGGCATTGAGATGCGAGGTGGGGAACGATTTCAGGTGCTCATGGTCCACATGAAGAGCAGCGCTTCTTCTGTCAGTCTGCACACAAGGGTCTCCCCGCGCTTCCTAAAAAAAGCACTCCCAACTTGCTCTCGTCCGCCGCTTAATTTTGATTGTGGTGAGCTTTAAATGAGCTTGGGTTCGTATTTTCTCCTGTTCCAGAACTACGTACGTGTCTTAGCTGTGACGGATATCTGCCCATATTTTGGCCTGAGCCCAACGTGTAAGCCCCCTGTCAACTTCTCTAAATATTTCCTGAATTTCCCATTGGACATTAAAATGACTGTCGTACATGTAGGACGCACAGCGTCTTTTGTTAATCGGCTGCTGAATGAGCGCTTGTTTTACCGTATGGTCACCAGACTTTTATTGGCCACAGTCACGATGTCTCCGAGTTGCATTCTCCGATCCGCGAATTTATTTTTGCCGTCTCTCAGTGTCATTCCAAGAATGCAAATCTCCTTGTTCGGAGTTTGTGATTGAACAATTGTCTGATGTGCGAGATTTGTGCTCGTTACGAGTTTGTTTTTCTTATTCTGCGTGCCACTTTTCAGCTTCGTCTTCGTCAGTGTCCAATATTTCTGACTCCATATGTCAGAGGCAAGTGAAATGCGCCAAATTTAAAATTCCTCCTTTTGGGTACACTGATGTTGCTTTTCATTGCCAAATTACATTTCGTGAAAATACTGCACTTGTACCCTAACGTTGTGTCAATCTAAATTCTGAGCAGCCTTCACACCCTACAGATGCGCACATTACCCCCTGATTTGTATAATATTGAGATGTAATCGTACTTCAGCTTGCTCTATAAATCTGAATTTCATTGTTAAATTATACCCTATTTAGCAGCTAGTGTCAGCATAGGGTAGTGCCACAAAATCCATTGTACTGTGCGTCGATGTCTATGCTCCCCGTCTTCAACGCTGAATTAGAAAGTAGGGTTAATATGAAAGTGGTTTCCTTCCCGTAGTGGTATATGCCATGTTGAGTGTGTGGACTTTATTTTAATCGATTGTAGCCTGCCATTGTACAAGGCTGCACGTTTAGTGTTTCCCATGCAAAATGACACATGTTGACCAAGTGGTTTTTCACATGGCTATACATATTGGAGCTGCCGTAGTTTAATGGTTAGCATTCTGGATTTTCAATCCAGAGGTAGCCGGCCTCTCGGTGCAGCACTTTAAACAATGGTGCAAGTTTCTGAAATATCCCTCTGTCTGCCCTGCAGTGTAAACGGGTACATCAGTCACTCATCAGTCACCTGTGGTAGGGTAAAGTGTGGGTATGCCCACCTATTCCAACGTGTCCGGTCAACACGGCAGAGTAGAACAAATACCCTCTAGAATTTTGCTGCCGTAGAAGCCCTTCTGCCAGCAGAAAGCGTGGGAAAGTAATTGCAGGGTTGCACCTTCAACTTTTTGTACAGATTAGGAGAGACTTACAATAAGGCAAGTTGTAACGCTTACAATGTTGCTGTTTGTTGTTTGAGAATTTACTACAAAATGTGTTTGTGGCTATTATCGGGTTTGTCGCACAATATAAATGGTTGTCAACACCTTGACCCAGTGTGGCAGTCCTGCAAATTATAAAGGAGTCGCAGCAACAGCATGGGCTGCGTCATGGAGACTACCAGCGCTACAGGTGCTTGCACACCACACACAGATGTGTTGCACGTTACTTGCATCTGCTACATTTTTACCGCCTTGACTTCATGTCAGTGTCTGTAATGATAGTTTGAATTTATATACCACGAGCATCTCAAAGCTCTACACGGCAAGCATGTAAACATCCATAGTGCATTCTCACAAACCCACCCCTCCCCCCACGTTTCTCTGCTTTGTAAGATGGAAAGTAAGATGCCCCCCAAACTTGTGTCTGGCATCAATAAAGTAATAGAAATCAGTTTTGTCACACATACACACACAAGGACACTAGATTATTAAATGTACACCCAACTTCAAATGGGGGGGGGGGAGGGTGGGGAAGAGTGCTTCTTATAATCCAGACTAATAAATACATTCCAGCCATTTACAATCCAGCCAATGGATGGAGGCCTCTCCCATGCCATGTAGGCTTTGAGTTTAGTTCATCATGCTTCACCACACGAGTCAGTGCGTTTGGGAAATTGAACTTGGGTCGCTGAATTCGTAGCACAGCACTCCAACCATCGCTCCACCCACTGTGAAAATGTATAATTCTAAAAATTTAAATAGAAATGACAATTCTGATTGGATAAATTAAGCAGTGCCACGACACCCCACAAGTTATCCCGACGCACATGCCATGAAAAATTAGGGTTTCATTGATTTTACCTCGATATTTTATCTTGATATTTGCCTATGAATTGTTGCAGGGGCTACTGCTCTCGACGGCTCCGGAGGCTGAGAAAAGCTCTCAACTTCAAAATGGGGAATCGCCACAAGTACACTGGGCGCAAGGTCACTGTGGAGTTGCTCAAAGACCCGCGGTGAGCATTGCTGAATGTGACATCTTGTCATTGTGTGCAGACGTCAGGCTCCAAATTCGCCAAATTTGAAAGATGCCTGCAAATGACTCAATTCGGATTATACATTGCAATGATCGCCCACTACTGGCAGACTGTTGTCCGTTTGCAGGCAAGGTGCTGAGGAGTCATCTTGTGCCCACAGGGAAAGCTGTCACTGGGGGTGCCCATTCACATGTTTAGGATGCGATTTAAAGTGCCATTGAAACGTCCTGGCATATACTGCACAATGTAAAAATAAATCATAATCATCAGCTGTCGTGGTGCGAGATGTTAACGACCTCGCCTGGTATATAGGAGGTCGTGGTTTCGATTTCGACCCTGACTCCTGTATATTTGGAGTTTGCATGCTCTCCCCGTGGTGGCGTGGATTTTTCTCTTTCCCCTCCATATTTAGAATGAACATGCATTTAGAGCATTTGGCTGCTATAAATTTCCACGTGATGAGCCACTTCGTTGAGCTATCATTTGTCGCCAGGTTGCTTCTGAAAAAGAGATATATAGCTCAGAGGGCCATACCTGTTAAAATAAAAATGGTTGATAGTTTTTATAACCATAATTGGAAAGCGTTGAAATCGATTAACATAATTGGAGCGCGCGTATGTCTGCGCGTGGGCTGTGCAGGTATCTGCTGCTGGAGCTGATGAGCGCGGAGCGCGCGTGGAGCTACGCCATGCAGCTCAAGCAGGAGGCCAACACGGAGCCCCGCAAGCGCTTCCATTTGGTGTCGCGCCTGCGCAAGGCGGCCAAGCACGCCGAGGCGCTGGAGCGCCTGTGCGAGGGCAAACGCATCGACGCCCGCACCAAGCTCGAGGCGCAGGTACTAAGCGAGGGGCCGGAGAACGCGCTTGCGACGTCGTTACGACGTAGCAACGTCGTAAGTTCAGCCCAAGATGATATCTATTTTTTTGTGACTCCAATGAAATGACAGGGTTTTTATGGCATTCGGTGTTGTTAAAAGTTGTAATTGTGATAAGTAATAATCAATATGAATATATGAAGTGATGATATCATTCCGGCGATGTTGGGCGGTACGCAAAGGTTTGCGGTTCGTGCCCAGACGCCGGCCTGGTTAATACTGCGAGTGTATTAACCAAAAAAATACACACTGTCTGCTTCAACGTGGACGTTAAGGATCCCGTTACCATTATTCGAAAAAGAGTAGGCCATGTGTGCTAGCATCATGGTCCAAATGAATTAATGGTAAAAGGGGAAAAACATCCTTTTCAGGCAATGTTTTTGACGAATGATGTGTGCTTTCTGTCCTTTGTGCTTGTGTTTTGCTGCCTACACGGGATCACAATTAACTTTTCTTTTCATAGATCCGCAAACTGATGTACTGTGTCCAGCAAGAAGTTAATTTATTTGGGTAACTTACCCCACGTGCAAGTTTCTGGATGACAGGTGTGCACGACTGCGACTTGTGGAACTAAAACCTGAAAGTAGAGAAAAAAATAAAATGATAAACTAGAAAGAGAACTGAAAAAAAACGTGATCGAAACCTAAGTTTAATTGAATCTCGGAATCAGAATATGTATTTATACTGGAGGAATCCGATGAGCTATAAAGCTCTTTTTCACAGATGTCCAGTAGGGGTGACTAAGAAGGTTACAACAATAATCAATACAAAAACATGATAGTAGTGCAAAGTACAAGAAAGGTCAACAAATCGCTCAAACACAAATAAAACGAAACCAACCCCATCCTACCAGGCAAAGCCCGCTGAGGTATTAACTGATTTTTCAGAAGCGACCTGGCCACAAACGATAGCTCAAGAAAGGGGCCCTTCAATTGGACATTTATAGCACCAAAATAATGTAAATAATCTCATTGCATGTTTCTAAATGTGGAGGGAAAAACTGGAGTACCCGGAGAAAAAATCCACGCGACCTCGGGGAGAACACGCAAACTCCAAATATTCAGGCAAACTTCAAATATACAGGCGTCAGGGTCGGGGTCGAACCCCCGACCGTTTGCATACCGGGCGAAGAGGATAACATCGCACCACTGTGGTGCCCCTTAAATAAATAAATAATTTGGGTTCAAATTGCATAATCAATTTCCAAGCTTCGGTAAGGCCGTAAAACAACAGCAAACACAGTCCCAGATCACACTAAAACAACACACAGTCCCTCTAAAAATTGTACATTAAAATTGAATCTGTACGGAATGCTTAATTTCTGCATCTGCCCGTCTTGACAGGCATATGCTGCGTACATGGCTGGCATGCTGAGGTTTGAAAAGCAAGACTGGACTAAAGCCATGGAGTCTTTTGGCAGCTGCAAGTAAGTCAGTGGATGGGGGAACACACATTAGGTGAGCCAATGCATCGGAGAGAAGCCGTGCGCACGGATTTGGTTTTGCGTTGCAGGCCGATGCTGCTTTTGCCGTGTGTCGCGCAGGGACAGCTGTCATTGGGGGTCCCCTTGGCTAAACTAGACCACCTTGGCTGATGAGGCTTATCCTTTTAGCGATGGGTTTCTATAGCCAAGGTTTCTAGCAACCTTTTGAGCCATTGTGTTGTTTTTTATGTAGGGTAAGCCCCTAATAGTGACACAACTGTATGGAAACTTTTGTTTCAATCGAAAAATTTTCACTACGTTCATCTTGATCCCTGTAATAGACCGTCGGGCGAATGCACGGACGCCTTCAAACTTGGTCCAAAAGCATTAAATACGGCAATAAAACTTGACACTGTGACTTTGTAATCACTAGAGGCGTGCGTACAGCTCCATCTACAAATGGGTTTATGAAGAGGGATTCATCTGTTGGACATTTACTGCCATTCACATCTTTGCTGTGATGCGTTACCGCAAAAATGTACCGCACTTGGTAGTCTTGTCAGCAAGAGAGATGAAGAGATATTTTGCTCACCAATCTATTATCGCGGTGTAATAAAATAAAGTCAGCGTACAATTTTCAGGTGATTTGTATAAATAAATAATGGGTCCCGGGACCAGAGGTCGAGGAGGGTGGGAATGATGCATCATCATCATCATCATCCAAATCAGCCATCATCGCTTGGAATAACGCAATCATCGTCGTCGTTACCGAATCACGTTTTCATGCTTTTAATTACTTGATAAAAAAAATATAAATAAAAAAAGATTTCTTTAAGTTATTAATCAATTCGGCGCCAAGGGTAAACGGGCAGCAGCGTCTGTCTGGCTCTTTCCACTGACCGTGCGTGCACGCGTGTCATGCCTTCAGGACCATCTATGAGAAGCTGGCCAGCGCCTTCTCGGACGAGCAGGCTGTGCTGTATCGCCAGCGGGTCGAGGAGATTTCCCCCAACCTGCGCTACTGCGCCTACAACATCGGTAAGGGCCACGCACATCGCAGATCCCGTCCATGGCTTCACCTCCAATGAGACTCCCTTCCCTTGCTGCCCCCCCCCCCTCGTCCTCCCCCCGTCCTCCCACCGTCCTCCGACCGCCCCACTCGCCACCAGCTGCGTGAATGAGCATGCCGAGTAATCTTTAGTGAAATGGCTTGTAATTGACGGCGGCAGCCCATGCCATGTGAAAAGTAATTCACAAAAATTGTGGACCTGCCATGTGGGGGACGTGAAGAAGCCCTGTGTGAGCGAGTTAAATTTAGCTGTGAATTTAAATGTACCTTTATTGTTCACGTTCAAAATCTGGCGTGGTGGTGGATCACGCGAGTGTGCTTTATTCTCACCGGCTGCCTTCCTTTATTGTTGCCTTCCGTGTTAAAATATAGCACTTCCACAGTACATGCTTTTTAAGATAAATACGTGTTTTTTTGCTGCTGATTATGTCCGTTGCTGTTGATTCAGTCCGTGCCGATAGTTATATCTAATTTTGTACACCGAGGCGCAATTGCTTGTCACCATGGCAATGATCAAATGCTTTTGTTGGGCGTTTTTTCTATTTTAAGCTGAATATGGAAAAAAAAATGTTATTGAGTTCACCTATTGAGAGGGTGTATTGTTAAAGGTGCCATATGAAAGCGGGATGTTGAAGCAATCGAGGACTGCTTAATGACATGGTGGCATCATCCATTTATTGTTGCCTTATCGTCATTTATTCTCATCCTCGTCCCTTTACGACCCCGCAAAGCACATGGAGAGAAAGGGGGTAGGCTCGGCACAACATGGCTGGGAATGCTCTGAGCACAGCAAAAACACGAGTGACTGATAGGCTGCTTCATCACTCGTCAGCATTCTTTGTGGCGCAAGAGAGAGCGAGGTCACTTGTAACTTGACCTGACGGTGCACTAGCAACTCCAAAAACTAAAAATCACAGTTGCTGCACTTGAGAAGTGCTGTGACCTGCAGCGTGGTGGTTGTGAAGATAGGCGTGAGTGAGACGACACAGTTGGTCACTTCAGTCAGACACCCTGGTAAATTAGAAGCAAAACTTTCTCCGAAAAAGAGGAATGTTTCTTTCGATCTGAAGGGCAGCTTTGCTCAACGATTTTTGTGCAGGGAAAGCGGTAGCGGTGGCGACTTTACTGCGCTCGGCGGTCCTCCTGGTAGAGGACATTGAGTTTTTGTGTTTCCTCTCCGAATACACGGCAGCTTTTTGGCTTGGGGGGGGGGGGAAATGCTAAATCTGCAGAATATCGTAAACTTACGCAGGGGCCAACACTGAAAAAATACAAATCGTAGATCTCACGTTTTGACAAAAAAAAAACCAGTGGGCTTGTGCCAGATACAAATCGCGATTGGTGACAGGAGCGGCAGCCCAAAGGAGCAAACGCATCCAAGAGGATAACCACTGCTGGAGAAGGAGCGACGGGGTTGGCTCGCGTGGCACGCAGGAACAAGATGGGTCGTGGCATCGGAGAGACCGCGAGTGGCGTCGATGATGTGGCACGGCCTTCGTCCGGCAGTGGCTAGATCGTGGATGTTTATGATTGATTGATGACGGTCCGTCCACCCTTCTGGCTGAGTGGGAGGATTCTGAGTGCGATTTTCACCGTTGTGTCACAGCGTCCGCGTCCGGTAACAGCGGGCCCTACTTTTTTGTTTGCACAGGTGACCAGTCGGCGATTGGGGATTTGTTGCAAATGCGCCTGAAATCTGGCGACAGTAGCAGCATGCTCACGGAAAAACTTGAGGTGAGTTGTGGACGTAATGAGCGTCTGGATTCGTGCAGTTTATTTTCATAAGATGTGTACAATACTGTTGTGACATGGCTGGCTGCCGCACCTCTTGCGTCACTTGCCTGGTAGATTTATAAGTAAGAAATTTACGATGCTCATTCCCCATACGGGTATGAAAAAGCATCTGACCAAGGTTATGAAGTCTTTTGGTTCCTTCGTGAAGCTTCAAGCTCGTTTTGGGCAGTCCGAAAGACAGTGTAGCCACGTATCTACAAGCACTGTTTATTTTATGGCTGCATCTTCCTTCAATATCTCTTTTTTCCACTGGCACATCTAAGCTATTTGCCGAGCCAGGTCGGAAAACAAACTGTAATACCCCGGTGCAAATAAGGCATCTGCATCTGACTTGGGGCCAAGCAATGCCAGTGGTTAGTTCATTGTGTGTGACGAGGTGTTAACTACCTCGCCTGGTATACAGGAGCTTGCGGGTTCGATCCCGATCCTGACGCCTGTATATTTGGAGTTTTGCATGTTCTCCCCGTGGTGTTGTGCCGGGTTGCAGGTGCTGTTGGCTCAGATGCGTGCCAAGCAGTCGACGAGCATGAGCGAGGTGACGTGGTGCGGCCGCACGGTGCCCGTCAAGGTCGACCGCGTGCGCGTCTTCCTGCTCAGCCTCGAGGAGAGCGAGGCAGCCATCGCACAGGTGACGGCGGCCCCCGCGGCGAACGCGGCCCCCCACCGCTGCCTCCCTCGCGCCCTCCCGGCTCCCGTCGCCCACCCTCGATTCACGGCCCAGCTCGTAGGATAATCATTATTTAGCAGCACATTTTGTGTTTGCACCGGTCTTATAGCGGAGGGGTCGGCAAACCTGCGTCTCTGGAGCCACATGCGGCTCTTTAAGGGCTGCTTTGTGACGTTATTTATTAAGGACCGCTGTCTTGTATTCACGTGCATTGTGGCTCTTCAAATATTGAGATTTTTTTACTTCGAAAAAAATGGCTCTTGTTATTTTGGTTGCAGACCCCTGTAATAGCACAATCTCATTGCATGGTCTTGTCAGTTGGGGGTTGATGCAGCTGTGTGGTTTTACCCAATAATGTCATTTGCAGATAAGGTTTCGAATTGGGTAAATTTTGGTCGGTGACACCTGCACAAATGGGCCCTACTCATCAATTCGGAAAAAAAAACATCACGGGATCGTTAGCATCCACTGTGAAGCAGATGGCGTGTCGTGTTCACGAGTAATACAACCGCAGTATTAACCAAGGGTGCCTGCTGAGCTCGTTACCACGAACCTCCACAGCAGTTGGCAAGCGCGCCACCGCTCGGCCATGCTACCGCCCCGCGGAAATGCGGTCAACTCGTGGAAGAACTTACAAGATGGTGTACCGATTGCTACGTCAATAGAGCAATCGATTGATGTTCAAACACAGCTAATTTTACACGGCTTGCTGTGCCGATATTCCGGCCCATCGTTTTTCTTGCAAGCTCCCACCGTGGTCATCGTGGGGGGGAGTTTTCCATTGATGCCGAGCGCAGACGTCGACGAGAGCGCAGCAACTGATTGCGCTTGGCACCGCCCTTGCCCCCTTTTGCTGGTGGGCGCGTGAGTGCAGGCTGAGAAGGAGGAGGGGAAGGAGCAGCTTTACGAGAGCCTGCTCATCGAGTGTCGCGACGCCATCCACGCCGTGCGGGAGGAGCTGAAGCTCGACCCGGTAACAGCGGTGCTCCTCTGCCCCTGGGGGCATCGTCTGTCACAGTTTTTTTTTACTCCCAAAGCATCGTTCAATGCAATCTGTGAGAACGCGTTGTGCTTTGTATTTGTGCAGTGCAATATGCAGTGCGCGCAATATTTCATGCAGTGCGCGTGCGTGTTGAACTTTTCGCACCGCATGTAGCCAACTGTGCTGGATATACAAATGTTAATGCATTATACATGTGCGTTGCATGTGTATGCATTTGTTTGTTTAAGTTTTCCATGCAAATGCGCACGTGTAATGCGTTCACGTTAGCACATGAACACGGATCCGCTCTCGCGCATCCCGTGTGGCCACAATCTTCTACTGATGTCTTGCCGAGTTTAACATTAATTCCAAAACTGGGCCGAAATGTGACATTTTGGATCCAATTGATCATAGAATGTGATGTCGCATGCACCGACAACATTTACATGACAACATTTTAAACGACATTGTGTCCATGGCTTTTCTACCAGAGTAGCCGTCATTTGATGTCATATTAAATTTACTGTTTTACTTTTGGAACGTTACATAAAAATGTAAAAGTCGGTGATTCTTTGTAAAAAAATATGATATGATTATATTGAACGCATGAACTATGAAAGTTATTACTGTTTGCTATATGTATGAATATAAAAGAATATACATTAAAATTCTAAATTGGGCTGAAAATCTGATATTTGAAAAATGTAATCTGATACTCCCGAATGCATTCATGCACATCAATTTATATATACTCCACTGTTTTTTAATGAGCCTATTTTCATCAGCAGAATGAGCATTGTAAAAATAACAGTTCCATTTTCTTACAAATGAGAGCATTAAATATATATTGAGATTGGCGGGAGACAGCCTTTAAAATAAGATGTCGTTTTCTCATTTTTGCTGCCTTAAATATAAAACCAAGGGACTCTGTTAAAAACATTCTAACGTAGAGAAGCATTGTGTACCTTGGAACATAATTTGAATCGTATAATAGTGAAACGCATTTCAACTCATTGTTACAAGCTTATTTTGCGCGACGTTTAAGGTCTTCGCAAAGCAGCTTCCATTTGTTGTTGTGTCGTTAACTCGTTACATTTTTCTAGCCCACAATCATATTTGCACTTGTGCCCATGTTGTAAATTGTTTGATGCATGTGGGTATGCGTGTGTGCGCACGTGGGGAGCATTAGTGTAGCGCCTCGCGCACTGCGCTACGAACCCGGCAACCCTATTTGGAATTCCGCTTACTGCTAACACCAGTGACGATTATCTGAATGGGTCCTGAGCCTTCCCTAAGTCGACCCAGCCTCAAGTGAGTACGGTGTGTAAACATCGCCACTAGGGAGACAAAGGCGGCCCGAGCGTGGTGCCGGCCACCCACTCCCTTGTGCCGTGCCGGCCTTCATGGGAGCCCGCTATAACAGCACTTGCCCCAAAAGTCTGCGGAGGCTATACGGAGGATCTTTGTCCCTGTGCGCACGTGGACGCAGAAACAGCGAGAGCGAGAAACGGAGGCAGGAAAGAACTCAAACCTGCAACACCTACATAGGTAACGACCTCCTCCCCCCCCCCCCACTCCCTGTTGTGCATTGACCCGAAGCGTTGAAAACAACACAGATGCTGCGAACAAAATAGTGCCGAGACAGCTGACGGCATCGGGTGTTCATGGTTGTCATGGTTATCACACTGGATTTCTGGAGCAATCCAGGGGTCGACGGGTCCAGCTCCTGGCAATGAGCAAGTCTCTTAAATCTCCACTGCCGCGTCCGTCCGTCCAGCAGTGTCAATGGGTTACACCGCAGGTCATCGATCGGCAGGTCTGCGTGCGGTGGAGGGTAGAGTGCGGATACTCCCACCTCTTCCAAAACATCCTGCCAGGTTGGAAGAGTAGACAAAATACCTTATTAGAGTTGAGACCTCAGAAAACAACATGGCAAATGTTCAATATTTTCATCTTTTCCCAGAATAGGAGCAAGATGAACACGAACGTTTCAAAGCCTCTCTTCTTTTTTTTTCTTCCAAACTCCCAACAATATACAATTTAGTTGGCGAACATCAATTTAGGCGATTTCAGCTGTTTCACAAAAGAAGCCTTCCTTGCGTTTACTTGTGCTGGACGTAATGGAAACAAAAAGCACGAGTCGTAATGTAGTTTGAATATTGCTTTTGAATTGCGTGTGGTTATGCACTTGGAAGGTATTCGGCGAAGGGGTTTTTAAGAGATGTACCGTCGTGAAATAGTTGTAAGCTTGCAATGCTCCTCGTTATTCAAAGAGTTCAAATATCGTCAATTGCACAAAAACACAGGCTGTCTTTTGTGACATGTTTGCCTTTAATCTATCTGTTTTCATCTTCACTAATTTGTCTTGTGTCATTCTAGAGTGTCTAAAGGGGGGATCTGTGGTATAATAATGGTTAATTATTTGGCCAGGTGCGGACAGTGCAATTGCCATGGTGGTGAGATGTTAACTACCCTGCCTGGTATACAGGAGGTCGTGGGTTCGATTCTAAACTCTGACGCCTGCTGCTGTATATTTGGAGTTTGCGTGTTCTCCCCGTGGTCGCGTGGAATTTTTTTCTAGGGGTCCTACGGTTTTTCCCTCCACATATAGAAACATGCTTTTCGAGTATGTGGCTGCTTTACATTTACACATGATAAGCCGCCACTTCGTTGAGCTTTCATTTGTGGTCAGGTCGCATCTGAAAAAGAGATATATAGCTCGGTGTGCCTTACCTGGTAAAATAAATATAGTTTAATAGATTAGCAATTGAGGGTCCGGTGGCTCAGGTCAGCGCTGATGTGGCACCGCTGAGATCCTGGGTTCAAATCCAGGTTACAGCTGCATGTGATTAAACCGGGATTTCAAGTGTAGCCAAGTTAATGGTCTTAGCTGGTCACCAATGACTGGACAAAAAAAAGCTATCGCATAAAAAAATGTGGTTCCGCACTTGGTTCTGATCAATTCCAGCTCTTGAGAATCAACATATCAGTTTGTCATATGCCAAAAAATACTCTCATATACAGAGTAGGGGTAAAGTGCTGCCCTCTGCTGTGGTACCAGAGGTCACTTGAAGGGATCTCAGAGGTCGTGCTGCAATATCTGCTTCCTTGCGCCGGGGTCGCACTGCTCTGCGAGACAACTGAATGGATACTTTTATACTTTGTCTTGTAACATGACGCCGATAGTGCAGTCGTAATTGGGCAGGGTGGCGGGGGGGGGAGAAGTTACAAGAAACATTTTATTTCTAAAGTATTTTTAAACAAGAACGATTGAGCCGTGGTGACCCTGCACATGTATTCATCCGGGAGTGCAGCTACCTGACGTTCATAAAGCTGAGCAACACGGTGGAGCGCAACGTGGTGATGGCGCGCGCCCTGCGCCGCCGGCTCAGCCGAGGCGCCGTTGACGACGGCAGGAAGGCGCCGCGTCCCCAGGAGCTGATCCGCCTCTACGAGCTCATCCTGCAGAGCCTGACCGAGATGCAGCAGCTGCCCGGCATGGAGGCCGATCCGGACCTGTGGCAATCTCTCGATAACAAGAAATCTGCTTACAAGGCCTTCAGGTGCAGCAGCAGCAGAAGTAGTAGTAGCAGAAGTAGGAGTAGTCGTAGCAGCAGCAGTAGTCGTAGCAGGAGCAGCTCTAGCGGCAGCAGCAGCAGCTAGTGGTAGCAGCAGCAGCTAGCGGTAGCAGCAGCTCTAGCGGTAGCAGCAGCAGCTCTAGCGGTAGCAGCAGCAGCTCTAGCGGTAGCAGCAGCTCTAGCGGTAGCAGCAGCAGCTCTAGTGGTAGCAGCAGCAGCTAGCGGTAGCAGCAGCAGCTAGTGGTAGCAGCAGCTCTAGCGGTAGCAGCAGCTCTAGCGGTAGCAGCAGCAGCTAGTGGCAGCAGCAGCTAGCGGTAGCAGCAGCAGCTCTAGCGGTAGCAGCAGCTCTAGCGGTAGCAGCAGCAGCTAGTGGTAGCAGCAGCAGCTAGCGGTAGCAGCAGCTAGCGGTAGCAGCAGCAGCTAGTGGTAGCAGCAGCTAGTGGTAGCAGCAGCTAGTGGTAGCAGCAGCTCTAGCGGTAGCAGCAGCAGCTCTAGCGGTAGCAGCAGCAGCTCTAGTGGTAGCAGCAGCTAGTGGTAGCAGCAGCAGCTAGTGGTAGCAGCAGCTAGTGGTAGCAGCAGCTCTAGCGGTAGCAGCAGCAGCTCTAGCGGTAGCAGTAGCAGCAGCTCTAGCGGTAGCAGCAGCAGCTAGTGGTAGCAGCAGCAGCTAGTGGTAGCAGCAGCTCTAGCGGTAGCAGCAGCAGCAGCAGCAGCTCTAGCGGTAGCAGCAGCAGCTCTAGTGGTAGCAGCAGCTAGTGGTAGCAGCAGCAGCTCTAGCGGTAGCAGCAGCAGCTCTAGCGGTAGCAGCAGCAGCTCTAGCGGTAGCAGCAGCAGCTCTAGCGGTAGCAGCAGCAGCTCTAGCGGTAGCAGCAGCAGCTCTAGCGGTAGCAGCAGCAGCTCTAGCAGCAGCAGCTCTAGCGGTAGCAGCAGCAGCTAGTGGTAGCAGCAGCAGCTCTAGCGGTAGCAGCAGCACAGCTCTAGCGGTAGCAGCAGCACAGCTCTAGCGGTAGCAGCAGCACAGCTCTAGCGGTAGCAGCAGCAGCTAGTGGTAGCAGCAGCTAGTGGTAGCAGCAGCAGCTCTAGCGGTAGCAGCAGCACAGCTCTAGCGGTAGCAGCAGCACAGCTCTAGCGGTAGCAGCAGCAGCTCTAGTGGTAGCAGCAGCATTCGCGGCAGCAGCAGTAGTAGTTGTCGCAGCAGTGGTAGCGGCAGTAGCACTAACGGTAGCAGAAGTGGCAGACGCCACAGCCGCCAAACTGTCTGCTGTCACCTTAATTGTCATCATTACAGTTGAAGGTGTCTTTTGTTTCCCTTTAATATGGCCGAGTTCTCTTTTGCCGCGGGGTACCCCTATGAACAGAAACACGTGTGCTGTAAAACGAAACATCATTTGTCAAGATGACAAATGCTATGCGCACCTACTGCGCGCATATGCTTACAGTATATTACCTGCCTGTTGCAGGAATTGAACTGTGGACTATATAAACTAGTGGCGAGTACACACCACTAAGACAGACTACTTGGCAGCTCATGCCAAAATCTTATATGAATGTACGTTGAACTTTTTTCGCACTGTACGTAGCCAACTGTGCTAGTCATAGGTGTGGAAAATAATCAGCAGCTCATTTGCTAGATGGTCTCTTTAATCGTAGAATTGCAATCCTTGTTCTCATCATCATCATCATCGTAGTGTCAAGTTATAATCCTTGGAACTACGAATGATAGTGTGCAAGCAGGTGTGAGTTTTGTGTTCTCGTGTGTTTGCGTGCATGTGTCCACAGGTGCTACTTCATAGCACAGTCGTACTTGGCGGCCAAGAAGTGGACGGAGGGGTTGGCGCTGTTTGAGCGCGTCCTCAAGTACGCGAGGGAGGCGCAGGCCGCCTGCGCCCAGAGCAACTGCCCCAATATGGTGAGTGATGAGCACCGAGATCACCGGGGCAGCCACTGCCATTCGTTGTTGGGGGGGGGGATGGGGAAACCTTGTCAAGTCTCGAGGCTTGTTTTAATCATATAGTGCTGTATCTGGGGTGTTGGGTAAATTCACAGTTTTGTGCGTCTTGCAATGTTTTCCTCAATTGTATCGCCATTATGTCATGCGATGAGAACAAGTTTGCTTCTGGAAAACCGCGCAAAAACTACCCGAGTTCTCTTCAAGTGACCTCTGGTAGATGCATTAGTACACAGTGTAGCACTTTCCCACCCATTCTGCATATGAGAATACTGTACTCGCATCTCCTTCATCGATATTTTTATTCTCAGGGCTGGAATTTTGCCAAATTAAGTACAAATGTAAGCGGATGGTTTTTGTGTGCGGTCATTGGCGATGGGGCTGAGAGCATTAAGTTTGCTAGGCTTGAGAACCCGGTTTAAGCACAGGCGACTGCCGGGATTTGAACCCACGATGATCCCCGTGGTGTCACCTCAGCGCTGTGACTTCTGAGCCACCCTTGGCCACCTTTGGGCAAACTCCTTTTTGAACATTGTTTTGCACGTGGAGTAAAAAAAAATATACTGCGTACCCAAAGCAAACCCATTCATATGAGAGGATTTAAAACTCAACGGTTCACACAGACAGGTTCATGAATCCCTCCCCCACCCCCACTTGCGTTGCTATGTCTCCGACTGCTTCAGAAGCGCAGTGCATTTTGCGAGTTAGTCATTTGCGTGATACACCAACATTTGCCTCGACACTCGGCACAGAAGTGAATGTTTGGGAAGCCCTGCTCTGCATTCCCTACATGTATTTTGATAACTGTCTTTGCATTGTTTTATGCTTGCATTGATGCCTTTGCTTTTCCGTGCCTGCGTTTAGGATCAGAATGAACTGGAAGAGCTGATCAACTCCATAAACGCCGAGAAGTACTCGATACAAGCGACGGCGATACTCGGTAAAAATGCTTCTGCCATGCGCCGCTGAACCTTTTGACACCACTTATGTCACGAAGCCACCCCGCAACGTATACCCACATCCACCGACTGTGCCACTGACAGAGGGGGTGCAGCAGTAAGTGCTATCCAGACTGTGCAGAAGAATCGCCACCATCACGGGTCCCATTTTTAGTTTATCAGCAAAATCCGCCGCATGAAGTGCAGTATGTGATAAGTAACTTGTATGGTAATGTTGCTTTTGCAGTGGCACGCAAGAGCATATATTACCCAACAAAAAAATGCCAACACATTCGTCGTGTCCCTTTTGTGCGCAAATTTGATGTGCTGCGAAGAAGGGCCATTGCCCGAAACATCAACTGTTAATATACTCTTCCTTATGGGGCACTGTTACATGAAGTCCGAAACACACGCTCTAAATTGCATGTGCTTTTTGAGTAATATTGGACAAGGCAAAGACATTATCCCAGCCAGCGCTCCTAATGTGATCACCACACTTCTCCGTTTCGAGACGCTGATTTTACGTTGTGATTCTATTTGTGTGTGCCTTGATGTGTGGCCAGTGCATGGATGTTAAAAGCTAAAAACTTAGCCAAACCTTTCCACCTGGGTTACAGATTGCACAACCGTACGGTGATCATTGGCTCGGAACAAGTTGCGTAGCTTTATTATCTTGCAAGAGCAAAAGTAAGGGAGACCGTTTACTTTTAGCAACATTGTATGGAAACCCATTTTCAACTATGGCTGGCGCAACCAAGCCCATTTTGAAAGTACAATGTTGCGTACCTTTTAAACGTCTTTGCTGGCTTTGTTTATTCGTTCTCGTCCAAAATCGAGAACATCAACAAAAGTCATTTTGACCCAGGCACATCCAGACATTTGTGCCTATGAGTTGAAAAAATGTGTACGTGGGCGTGTGTCCTTTTTTTGCATGGTACGCATGTGTGCCGAGTGCAGTTCAGACGTCGCTTTTATTTGTGACCGAGCCCTACTGCGCCAAGATCGTGAAGCGAGCAAACGTTCGCGATTTTAAAGCCAGAGTCCCACATGCGGCTACCGAGAGGCGAAGCCGGCTTCAGGGGCTACGCTAACGGCATGCCGCCAGGTGGCTGCCACTTAACCCTTTCGCTCATTTGTTGTTGTTCTCCGCAGACTCTGACGATATTGGTGATCGCATGGCGGCTTTGGAAGTTTCGGATAACAAAGTAAGGCTCTGCAGTAAATGTAATATTGGCGGCGAAAGCCACGATTTATCAGTGTGTTCTCTTATCGTATATTTAATAGGTACAGCACTACCATTTGTAGTTCATTCGTGTCCATAAAACCGAGACATTGTCAATGTTTTTAGTGTAAAAGTGATGCTATCCCTATGTGCCAATATCAAAGCAGTGTCTAGCCTTGCTGTGTACGAGTTGTTGGCTGCCCCCACCATGCTGATCAGGCATTTGATCGATCGCATTCATCATACAGTTTATCTGATAGTTACAATTTGAGGCATATGCAAAATGTGACCTTTTGGGTAATGGAAAAAAAAAACGAGATGGCGTAGATGAGTTTGATGGTGCTACGCGCAAGACCTTACCACAAGGGAGATTCTTGAGTCGAATTGTGACCCCCAAATTGTAACCATTCATTGAATGGCGAGGGGTCTTGAATGCCTGTTGGTCAGGCCGGTGTCCCTAACCCTGCCCTCCTCTCTCTGTCGCCTTCCTCCCCAGCCCTTGATCGAGCGGCTGGACGTGTACCGTCTGGACCCGGCGCTCGTCAGCAAGCAGCCCAACCTGGTGACATTCCCGCCCGAGTTCCAGCCCGTGCCCGTTAAGCCGCTGTTCTTCGACCTGGCGCTCAACCATGTGGCTCTGCCGCCGCTCGACGACAAGCTAGAGCAGAAGTCTCGCAGCGGCTTCACGGGCATGATCAAGGGCATCTTCGGCTTCCGCAGCTGAACCAACTCCCCCGCCCCCTGACCCTGACCCCGACCCCCACCTTCCGCCACCACCACCCCACCCCGCGCCCGCCACCCACCCTCTTCTCTCACTCAAGTCCTCGCACCGGTCACGCACAGCGCCCCGCACGCCACACACACATCCCCTCCCCGCTCTTCCGATCCGTACCACCTGCGTGAGGCACGGTTAAGGGAATACGCACACCCCACACCCCCCCCCCCCCCCCCCAAAAAAAAGCTCTTATACACAAGGGCAGCCTGCCTATCCCCTCAGGCATTGTTAATTTATTTCGTAAAAAAAATTAAAGGCCGGCTCTATTCTGTGAAGAACATTCTCGTTAAGAAATCTTCATACGTATTTGTTGGGCAGCTGGTAGACACACGACCTCGGGATGTATCAGCAAGACGGGGGGGGGGGGCGGGGGGAGGGGGCGTTTGTGCATTAGGGTTGCGCCTTTAAACCAGCAGGCTCGTGCTCGGCATACGCTTGTTCATATTCTTGATTTAAACAAACTGTAATGACTGTGCGTTTTATTCCTTACTCGGTCGATTATGTCGTGCTGTTGGTGTTTCGGTGCAGAGCGAAATGTTTTCTTCACGGAACTCGCACTATTCTCAACCCTCTCCCATTCCGATGACGTACGTGTACGTATGCGTACGTCATCGGTCGGTGTATGTTATCAGTTTTTCTTCCGATGACGCACATGTTTTTCTTACGATTCCGGAAGACGTACCGACGCCCCATGGCTACGCGGGAGGGCGTGTGGCACAGTTTGGCGCCAGCTATCGCAGAGTGCGGACGCGTCGCTACGGTTCTCTGCGGGTGAGTACAACGTCTTTAAAAAACAACGGCGCTTTGCCTCTCTAAATAAAATTACCGTTAACGGGAAAGGGTTAACGACGAGGGAGGTGTGTGCATTACTGCTGCTCCCCCCCCCACCACCCTTTTTTTTTGCTGAATGCCCTCAAAGATGGGCAAGGCCAAATGTTGTACAAAACAATTTTAACGCAATGTTTTTTTTTTATTTGGCGCGGCTCCTCTGTAATTTTGTGGCTGGGCTTGCGTTGAGCATGGGGTAGAGTGCACTCTTGGGTGCAAACGAGACCTTGGCGGAAGTTGTCGGAGGGGGGGGGGGGTCTGGGGAATGTGGGTAACAGGCTTCGACGCATAGCGTTTTGGCGTTATAAGACGGCTCAACTGCGTAGATGCAACGTTTTGCGAGTTTCCTTTTATACACATTGCTTTGTAAGTTTCACACAAATTGATGCTGGTAGGATTTGGAAAACTTGTGATACTCATTAGTGACATGGCTCTTTAGAAATTTACCGATTTGTAGAAATGAACTTCGCGCAGAAATACCGAGTTACTTCCAGGTTGAAGTCGTTCCCTTAGGTTCACCCAAGCATAAATTCGGTATTCGTAGTACGCCAATTGGCAGATGGCTTGCGATGGGGAATTTGATTGTACCTGTATCTCCAGTGTCACGAGGGCCAATATGGAAGACTACAACTTTAGAGAAAGAAGAATCTCTTGTCTGTACAATGTGGATAATCACACCATGTAATTATGTGCAGCAAGTGATCCCACTGGTGTCCCATACTTGCATGAGTAACTTGGCCTGTATAGCAGACCGCTGCTCCGCACTGAGAGTGAAACGGGCAGTGGCTTTATAAATGTGCTTAAAGGAGTCTTGTGCTCAAGGCACAATGATGCTCGCCAGGCATTACAATCCCGGCTTTATTTGCTCTCCACGTTATACCAGTCCGTAGTCGTATGTAGTGCACCGTTGCTGCCTTAACGGGAAACGGAAAATGTTTGCCAGTGTGGAAAGCTGAAAATTGGTTCAGGATCCGCGAAAGGACTGGACTCTGGAAACACATGAGCCGAGCTGTGTCAAAAGTCGTAACCTTGTGATCAGGGTTGTTTTGAGTGGACCCACAGTGCGTGTGGGCATAGCCAGGATTGCAAAGCAAGTTCATGTTTTGCGTCTCGTACACAAGGTCCGTGGTGGGGCATTGTGCAAGGACCGGTGGTCCTGAAGTATCGTCTTCGTATAGGTAGTGGCTGTTAGTGTTCGCTGTAAGAGGTAATGTGCTGGCGTTGTTCAATACAAGGACCAGTGACTTGCGTTGTCCCAAGTGGGATGTGCAGGAGCATCAAGACTTTAAGGTCTCTATCTGCCAAGTTTCTGTATTGATCATGGTCGGCAGGTGGTATGGGAGTCCAAAATAACAGGTCACTGTAACTGGCAAACAATGTGTGTCCTCTGCAGATTGTCCTCATTGGTGCACACTCACTACTCAACTAGGAAGAAACATTGTACCAATTCACTACGTAGGATTAGACCCACACAACAATCTTGTTAATGAATCCTAGAGCCTGCAAGTGGCTGCGAAAAGATGTTGACTTTACGACCTACTCTTGAAAAACTGGATTTGTTTTATTTTTGTATTTGTGGGATCAATGTAAATCGCTGCCGGCCCCATAAAAGTAGATCTCTCGTTTGTCTTGATAGAAAAATGCCATATTTTGAAATGCATTTAATAAGGTTCAAGCATGTCTATCTGAATACGTGTTATTGCGAATGGGGTTTTTTCTGTTAATTTCATTACCTCCAAAAACTTTCAAACATGAAGATTTTGATATTTTCTGAGCAGGTTTATTTGGCACGGATTTGGGTCACGTTTTATTTCTGTTAGAAATGTTCCTTTTATCTTTGGATTACATTCACAGTAATGTAAAATGGTACCTGCTTAATCAAACATCCCTCAAATCGGTTATGATTGGAACACAAGAAAAGAAAAAGCATAAAAGATAGATAATTGTGAATTGCTAAATATTAAACTTGTTTTATGCAGCGTTATTAATTTTTAAATAGTATTTTGAAATTCTTATTTTCCAGTCAATATGTTAAGGATTGGGGGGGGGGGGCAACAGAAGAGGGGGATTTATGCCACGCTAAAATAATTGTCTTAAATTTATAAGTTTTGGAAAGTTTTTGCCTCTAAAATACAAAGTCTTGAAAATTGCTCGAGTATTATTGTGCAAAGCTGTAATTCTGGGCGCAATAAAATGTTTCAGTACTTTGTGCCATTTGGATTAATAAAATAACTGCAATGTCTGAATTAATAAAAAAACACCAGTACGAGTTTACCCATTTCATGCATTTCACTGGGCTTACATTGAAACTTTGAGTAACCAGGAGACAAGCGTAATACTTTAAAAATATTACTCAAGTTCTTTTTTTATAGGGACTTAATTTCCAGTACTGTTATTGGTGTGTCATGCATATTTTGCTTTTAATCTTTTTGGTATGTGGGTGTCCTGCATATTACAGCATCATTGTCAGGGCTCAAGTTTTGGTATATTGAAAATAAACATGTTAGGCTTGGAGGGATTGGCGTGCCTGGGTGGCAGCCTCTCTCATGGGTACAAAGAAGTCTTCTATGTATAGCCTGGTGCCATTTTGGGGAAAATACCCAACAGGAATGGCTATGGGTGGCAACTTACATTCACTACCACGCACGGTCAACTCAACTTGCCATCGATATTTTTTAAACCACGGCACCATAACTAATCAACTTATAAACAATGCTGTTGAATTGCTCCAGGATCATCTAACATGTTTCGCTTACAAATTCGCTTGCTTATCTCTGCAACACGCCACGTCGCTGTGAATGCCTGCCCAATGGAACGCCAGTATTGTTCGCCCGTCACCTCTACAAGAAGCTGATCTTGACACCAGCAAGTCTCCGCCAATCGGCGAGCTCCTTGATACGCGTCTTCTTCGCAGTGGTCGCCTTGGTTTACGGAGCCCGGGCATGTGAACTAGCATGTGTCAACCATCTCAAGCAAGGATGCCTAAGGGGGAAAGGACCTTTAAGAAAGAGGCCGCATAAAAAAAGACAAGCCATGTATATTTAATTTTTTTAAAAGTGCATATAAAAAATGGTACCATTTACTGCAATTGCACAGTTTGTATATACATGATTAGTGTAATATTCAAATGTAACATCCCAAAATATACAAACATGAGCACATCTGTAAATTTAAAGGCACTTAAAACAAGTAAAATCCCACCATTGGGCTACGAGACACCAATATGAATTCCCTAGTAATAAAACAGCAACCTGGGCAGGCAAGTTCAATAATTTGATTTTTTATGGCACGTAATATTTTTGTTTTCCGAGTCTATTAGCAATTATGTACCTTAAGAATACGTTTATGGTAAGTGAACATTTGCAGAGGCCTTTGCTGTACAAATGTGACTTGTCTCGCCAAGACACCTGTTGGTGCAGGAGTGAATATGCTTTGTTTACATCGTATGGAAGAAACTACAGGGACTCTACTTAGTCGACTAAAAAAACTCGTGCAAAAAAAAACCTGCCCGTATGTCCAGTTGCCTGTTTGGACCGATAATTGTTAGCTCAACCACCGGGTAACAGATGGTGCTGGTGGCACCTACATCTGCAGAACATGAACCATCTACAGGAGATTATACAACTTTTAGTGTACATGCCATACACCATGTTTGGAATGGACAGGAGTAAAGTTGGACTTGTGTACAAATCGATTTACAAAACAGACCTCTGGAACCTAACTCGGTCGGAAGTAGAGTCCCTGTATTGGCGTTTTATAGATATTAAGATGAAACATTTTTATGTGAGAACGTGAATACAGGGCGTTTAAAAAATATGGACCCAATTTAAAAGCAGTATTTCACGATGGCAACATGTTACAATTACAAAAAGTTACGAACGGTTTAATGAGTTATGAAGTTATACTAACCATTTTATAAATCCTCTTATGTGCCCTCCACCTGCTGTACGGACAACATCGAGACGATAGTTGAATTCGTCCCAAACGCCTCTCTTCTCACGCTTTACTCTGAGGTGCGTGGTCGCCCTGTGCTCTTCCCCTTACATAAACAGCAGCCTGTTTCCTCAAACTGTCGGTACCAACGACGAATGCTCTTTGACATTGGCGGATCAATGCCGAAACGCACGCTGCTCCGCAATTACGGATTCAGTCTTGCTCAACTGCAGAACGCAAAACACCCCTTGTGTTGCGGTGGGGTCACTGTCTTGCGAATGACTGAGGCTAGGGGATGTTTTTGCACTGCGAGAGGCATCGAGCGGTAATCATTTGAAACTCTATGCCCTGCCCTCTCTAAGCCCCGCCCTCTCTATGCCCCGCCCTCTCTACACCCCGCCCTTTCAAGTAGTAAGCGTTTCATTCATGGGCGGTTCGTGGTTGCAGAGATGTAGCGATGTCAAATCGTGTCCATCTTTTTGAAACGCCCCGTACTTTACTTGAACCTATTATACATTGCTTGAACGTTACCGATGAACGCATGCTGGGCCCAAAATCAAGGCAATAGATGGATATTTTGTAATGGGGGGGGGGGGGGGGGGTCAATCTGTTGTGCAAATGCAGTCGCGTGCACAAGCGCATGCGAGGACGTCCGCCTATTCTCATTTTCCACGAACGACAAGGAAAACGAGGCTCCTACCTCAACGTAGAAGTCCACACTTGACCGACATGCTTAAGGTCCCGTGAAATCGCCGCTCTCCCCGAGCTAAAAATGCTCAGATACGTGCATTGTCTTAGTACTGTTTGCCTTTTGGAATTCTCTGGTCTAACACAGGTGAGCCTAGGCCATAAAGAAGGCTGTCTGGTGCAGACCAATCAGTTTCAAAGACAAGGCATACAGTGAGGGAAAAAAGTATTTGAGCCCCTGCTGATTTTGTACGTTTGCCCACTGACAAAGAAATGATCAGTCTATCATTTTTATGGTAGGTTTATTTGAACAGTGAGAGACAGAATAACAACAAAAAAATCCAGAAAAACGCATGTCAAAAATGTTATAAATTGATTTGCATTTTCATGAGGGAAGTAAGTATTTGACCCCCTCTCAATCAGAAAGATTTCTGGCTCCCAGGTGTCTTTTATACAGGTAACGAGCTGAGATTAGGAGCACACTCTTAAAGGGAGTGCTCCTAATCTCAGCTTGTTATCTGTATAGTGGAGTAGGAAGGTGCGTAGTGCAAACAGTGTGATTGCATGGTAACAAAGACAGTACGGGTCACGTTGGGTCAGCCTGTAGCGAAGGCAAATAGAGTTCAGGTTATGTTAGGGCAATTAAGCTGGGCGAGCCAAGGACGGCTGTGATTGGTTGGTGGTGTGGTTGTCAAGGCTGGAGTGGCGTCTTGAAGTCTGGCGAGGTAACAGGCGCAGAGGGCACGCGAAGCGCCCTTGGGACGCGGGTTGATTACTTGGGGGTGTGATGAGAGCGTGGATAAATTGGGGAGTCGGGAATTTGAGTGGAGAGTTGGAGTTGGGAGCTGGACGAGGCAAGACGTGGAGTTTGGAGACAGAGTTGGAGACGGAGTTTGGAAACAGTGTGGAGCGGAGCTGAAGAAAAGAAGCAGCTAGCAGTAGAGAGAGCGTAACGATAGCAGAGCTGAAGAAGAGAAGCAGTTAGCAGTGGAGAGAGCATAGTGACGGTGATAGCGGAGAGCAGAGACGAAGTAGCTCGCAGTGGAGACAGCAGAGGGTTGGTGATAGCGGAGAGCAGAGACGAAGCATATTCTTAGCTCTTTCGGTAAAGTCACGTTGAAGGGAAACAATAAAATAATAAAGTATATATAAAACAATCAAAATTCTCACGACGTTTCGACCACACCTGATGACGACCGTTTGTGTTATGGTCGAAACGTCGTGAGAATTTTTATTGTTTTATATATATTTTATTGTTTCCCTTCAACGTGACTTTACCGAAAGAGCTAAGAATATGAATTACTGCAGTCACGAAAGCTTTAAATCAAAATTTAGAGACGAAGCAGTTAGGAGTGGAGAGAGCATAGCGACGGTGATAGCGGAGAACAGAGACGAAGCAGTTAGCAGTGGAGAGAGCATAGCGACGGTGATAGCGGAGAGCAGAGACGAAGTAGCTCGCAGTGGAGAGAGCATAGCGACGGTGATAGCGGAGAACAGAGACGTTAGCGTTGGAGTAAGCGCAGTGATAGTGGGGAGTGGAGAGACAAAGGTGGCGAGCGAGCCTAGTAAAGCACGGCGAGCGAGCCGTGGCGACCTGGATACTGTGGAATATTGAGGATATGCGGAGAGTTGTAAATAAAGCGGTGTTCGGAGAAAGACAAAAGTTGTCCCGAGTGAAATCGAACACTACACCTGTATAAAAGATACCTGTCCACAGAAGCAATCAATCAGATTCCAAACTCTCCACCATGGCCAAGACCAAAGAGCTCTCCAAGGATGTCAGGGACAAGATTGTAGATCTACACAAGGCTGGCATGGGCTACAAGACCATTGGCAAGCAGCTTGGTGACAAGGTGACAACAGTTGGTGCGATTATTCGCAAATGGAAGAAACACCAAAGAACTGTCAATCTCCCTCGGCCTGGGGCTCCATGCAAGATATCACCACGTGGAGTTGCAATGATCATGAGAACGGTGAGGAATCAGCCCAGAACTACACGGGAGGATATTGTCACCAAGAAAACAATTGGTAACACACTACGCCGTGAAGGACTGAAATCCTGCAGCGCCCGCAAGGTCCCCCTGCTCAAGAAAGCACATATACATGCCCGTCTGAAGTTTGCCAATAAACATCTGAATGATTCAGAGGACAACTGGGTGAAAGTGTTGTGGTCAGATGAGACCAAATGGAGCTCTTTGGCATCAACTCAACTCGCCGTGTTTAGAGGAGGAGGAATGCTGCCTATGACCCCAAGAACACCATCCCCACCGTCAAACATGGAGGTGGAAACATTATGCTTTGGGGGTGTTTTTCTGCTAAGGGGACAGGACAACTTCACCGCATCAAAGGGACGATGGACGGGGCCATGTACCGTCAAATCTTGGGTGAGAACCTCCTTCCCTCAGCCAGGGCATTGAAAATGGGTCGTGGATGGGTATTCCAGCATGACAATGACCCAAAACACACGGCCAAGGCAACAAAGGAGTGGCTCAAGAAGAAGCACATTAAGGCCCTGGAGTGGCCTAGCCAGTCTCCAGACCTTAATCCCATAGAAAATCTGTGGAGGGAGCTGAAGGTTCGAGTTGCCAAACGTCAGCCTCGAAACCTTAATGACTTGGAGAAGATCTGCAAAGAGGAGTGGGACAAAATCTCTCCTGAGATGTGTGCAAACCTGGTGGCAAACTACAAGAAACGTCTGACCTCTGTGATTGCCAACAAGGGTTTTGCCACCAAGTACTAAGTCATGTTTTGCAGAGGGGTCAAATACTTATTTCCCTCATTCAAATGCAAATCAATTTATAACATTTTTGACATGCGTTTTTTCTGGATTTTGTTGTTATTCTGTCTCTCACTCTTCAAATAAACCTACCATTAAAATGATAGACTGATCATTTCTTTGTCAGTGGGCAAACGTACAAAATCAGCAGGGGATCAAATACTTTTTTCCCTCACTGTATATTATCAGAGCATGTTTGCATGTTCACACGGTACGTGTGTGGGCTAATGCACACTTGATTCCTTGTAAAAGGTATCACTTGTTGTTTGACCATCTGAACACCTGTTTTATTGCCTGAAAAGGTAAAAAAACCTATTCTTATTTTTCATACTTTGATACTGCCAAAAAGAGGTAACCATGACATGACACACTTAAGTATTAAACATGTGCTACCGTTCGGCACGAGTGACCGTGTACAAACACTTGATTCGCCATTGACTCAAGACAACCGCTTAGTTCGCAGATTGGTCATTAGTTTGCAGCTGCTGTAAATGACCGTACGAAAAAGAGATGGCATCGGAATATATTCTCGAAATTAAGTCCTTAGAATGCATGGAAGAATAATCGAGGTGAATTTTAAAGCGTGAGATTTTGTAATCCGCTTGTTAATCCGCTTGGGGTTTCGGCTCATTCGCATTTTTTTTTTGCCATGCGTTGCAATCTTGAGCAGTTGAATTCACCTCCTGGGAGATGCCCGGTGATGACGCTTGAGAGAAGAAATGCTCAGCAAGCAGCCTGACCTCGCAAACCACACTTAAAATTTAATTAAGGTGAACTTATTTTTAAAATATACCCTCTTTTGGTTGAAGCAGACCTATTCACAGGGCCGACCTTTTTCCCATATTGGCCCTGGATATGGGCAAGTGCCGACTGTGACATTTTAAACTTCAAAGCTCAACAAATTAAAAAAAAAACTTTGACGAGGCTTGCACGCACGGCTTCGGAAGTTAAGTGGCGGAGATTTCAATCTCATTCCCTGTATCTCGCTCACGTCCTGCACTCTCACGGCCCTCACTCACTCCCCCCACTCACTTCCTCGCCCTCCATTGCCATGCAGAGGAGCTGCAAGGGTCGCCATGACCTGTTGGGAGCACAAATGCAAAAACGGTAAAAAATGTCGACACTTATCAATGCTTTCGAATTGAGATCGAAAGTATTTATGCATCAGCTTTGTCAGTATGTCTCTCATGAGGTGAGGGGGGCGGCGGAATGATAACTCTCATAAAGACGATCCCATATATAAAGTTGCGTTGCTATTTGGAACTTGCCATACAGAAAACCAGCCAGACCGATGAACGATCGGCCAAAAAATTGGGAGACCCAAATAAGAGCAAAAAGGATTATTTACAATTATGCAACTGCCCATTGGCTTTCGTACTAATTCAATACTTCCAAAGACAAGCGCGTGTTGGAAAACATTACATAATCCAAGTGTATTGATAATTCTTCCTAACTTGTTTAGGCACTGAATCTTATCTCCACTGTTGGCCTCATCTGGCGGTTTCAATTCCATTGCACGCCTCTTTAACACGATGACTACGCACTAAATGGTACAGCCGCCTCACCATGCAAAACGAGTTTTACTGACTTTTAAGAAAGGCGACGAGAGTCTAAATGAGTGGTTCTTAACCTGGGGTGCACGCACGCACCCCCTGGGGTGCGAGATGTCCTTTCTAAGAACCAAAAAGGGTTCAGGCTGCAGTCAAGGTTAATAACCACTGGTCCTAAAGACAACTCCTGATGGTAAAACAGGGTTTAAAAACACCAGGTGGGTGTGTGTGTGTGTACGCATGCCTGGCACAAGCATCGTGGTGACGTCACCGCCACTTAGTGGCGAATGGCGGTTGTTGTTGTTGCATGCACAATTCAACCTCCGCTGGTGAAGTGCCAAGGTGTGATGAATAGCTAAGTTTGATGTGTTTTTAGTGTTTTTACCATTTGATGTTTTTTTTGCTGCTTTTATGATTTTATGTAAAGTGTCTTTGAGTATTCAGGAAAGCGCTCACAAATAAAATGTATTATTATTATTAAAGACGCAGCCCTGCAACCGCTTTGCTCACACCACTGTTGGCGGAAGGGCCTCCACTTGAGGGATCTTTAAAGAGTCCCTCTCCGAAGGTATTTGGGCTTTCTCTTCCAAGCTGGCTGGGCATCTCGGAAGAGCTGGGAGCACCGAGACTATCCCACCACACACGACCTGCCAAATCGACTGTAGCGTACCCATTTATGCAACCATTGTTTTAACCGCCGTGCCAGAAGATCAAAGTGGTGACCTCTGGATTGCAAGTCCAGCGTGTGCACCATACACCAAGATGACACATGCCATGAACAAAAAAAATTGATACCTTTTTTTCACAGCTGGTCTGGGGTTCTGTCTACAGGTCGGCGTGCCGTGGGATGGCATTGTGGCTGGTGCGGATTGAGAACGGTGCCCATATGCACAGTTGCAGCAGGGAGATGGTGGCCGGGACAATGCAGAGCAGGCCGAACATGGCTTGGTGCAGCCCAGCCTGCGAGCTGGGGGGATGCGGAGTCAAGCCGGAACACACAGACACACGTCGCACACGGCCACACAGACACAAGCACGCAATGTGAACCCAGGTCAGTGTTAGACTTGGCACAAAGATCAGTACTACAGTCTGTTGCTCTCAGCATCACGTTCCGTGGCCAAAATAACTTTTTTTAATTTCCGTGTGCCATCCGCGCTTTTGTCTCCGATTTTTTGCTGAAAACGGCGCATTACAAATCTTGGACCAATCGTCTCAACATTGACAAGAGCTGTAGCTGTACACTCTGGTGCCTGGGGCAAGGTGATATCCTCACACTGCCCCCCCCCCCAACCCTCTCCTTCTGCTGCTGCGGCACCGACTCCACCCTTGGAAAAAAAAAAGTAGCGACCAGCCGCCACTGTTTACTTCGTGTTCTAACAATTCAGTGATCCATTCTGGTGGCACCCCTCTTGGGAGAGGCACCTGGGGGCAGCCGCCCTGCCCGTCCACCTTGCACACCCACCCCGCACTTGCTATGCTACGGCACTGAACACGCAATGGCAAAGGTACCAGTCAATGACAAACTCAGTTGAGCGTTCGATGCAGGTCGGTGCTATGCTTTAACACCAGGCAACTACATACACTTTCAATACAAAATTATCTAGATGCTATTCTCCTTTGAGGGGCGGGTGGGGGGGGGTTCCAGAATACAGGGGACAGTGGTAGAGAAGGAGTGACCTCCTATTGGCATGAGTTTGATAGGATTTTAATAGAAGGCCCAAATCTGCATTCCAGTGGACAGGGTTTCAACCACAATGTGAACAACTTGCAGTCGTATCTCTGTCAATCAAAGGCGATTAATTAGGATATCCTTCCCACCTGTCCACTTCAGTAAATTCACAACTTTATAAATCTCACACGAGGTGGCATTGTTCATGTGCGCTGGTGAATGCCGTTTGATTATCAAACCTTAGAGGATGAGCAATTAAAGCGAGACACCTCATTGGCCGAAACTCGCTCAATACTCTGTGATGTTGCTGACAATCAAGAAGTTTAACTTTATGCACATGAGTGCCTCGGGCATATAATCGCAAATACGATTATTTAAGCAAATTATTACTTATTCCGATTACTCGCCTGTATGGACACCATGACAATAGTTGGGGGGGGGGGGAGCAGAAGTGTCACCCCCTCTTCCAATTCGAATCGCTGGACAGGAAAAGATGGGTGGGCAGCGATGGGCAGGCGTTGGCGATGTCATCGGTAGCGTGGCTTGCGCAGGAGTTTTCCCGACTTCGCGAAGCAGGATGCAGACAGCCTCAAAACGTAGGTCGACTTCAAATTTTTTGTCCATTATTTGACAAAAAAAAAAATCGACGAATCGTCGTTCCAGCTCTCTTGCAAGTGACCGTAACCCACCTGGTGTCTGTTGTGCCAGCCATGTCTCCCAGGGTCTGGTAGCCGTGCTGGTTCAGGATCCTGACCACCAGCATGGGCGCTAGCGACTGTGCTGGCTTGGTGAACAGTGCGTTGAGCCCAAACACCATAGACGAGAGTGGAGAGCTGCATATGCATACAAAGACAAAGAACCCCCAGTATAGCCTTTAACAGACTGTTGGGGCAAGTGCTGTTCGCGAAGGCCGGCATGGCATGCGAAGGGGTGGGTGGCAAGCACCACGCCCGACCGCCTTTGTGTACACACACACACAAAGGCCCCTCTCGAACTACAGAGGCAGTTGGTGAACCACACGCAAAAACGTCCCTGAGCGCGATTTTGAAAATCCAACTTGAGCTGAATATTTATAAACATCAATAGCTTTACAAATATGAAGTGGAGAAGAATCTAAACTAAAAACAACACAACATTATATTTTTTCACGCGGCTCATGAAAAAGAGGCACAAAGTTGTTTATTATTATGTTGCTTGTTTCAAGAGAATTCTGCCAAGCTTTTTTAGTCGGGGGCAATGTTGCTACGTGTAATGCCAAATGACTAAATTGCAGGAATTTTGATCAGAATTGGGATATTGGTCAAAACTGGTTCGATTGTACGTGGGAGGAAATTGGGATATCCCGGAGGAAATCCATGCAGAACAGTGGGATGAAACTACCAACTCCACGCAGAAAGGTACTCGAGTTGGGAATTGAACCCAGGCGGCCCTTCTTGCCGTGAGGCACGATGAGCGTTACCACTGGGCCGCCACCCTGTCACCCTGCTGCGCCCTCGCCGAGTCCACGCACCTGCGTCGGTGGGTCCGGGCGTCCGCGTCGATGATATCAGAAAGAGGCAGGTTGAAGAGGCTGAACACAGCCTGGGGCAGGACCCTGCAATGAAACACACGGAGCGCCACGGTGGTGAGATGTTAACTACCTTGCCCAGTTTACACGAGGTCGTGGGTTCGATCCCAACCCTGACGCCTGTATATTTAGAGTGCCAATGTTCTCCCCGTGGCCACGTGGGTTTTTCTCCAGGTCCTCCGGTTTTTTCCCTCCACATTCATAAACATGTGTTTCGAGTATTTGGAGGCTATACATTTCCACCCGATAAGCCACTTCGTTGAGCTTCTGAAAAATATCTATATAACTCAGGAGAGCCTTACCTGGTAAAATAAAGAAGAATAATAGTAGAAGTTAGTAGTACACAGAGCACAATTAACACCGTACAGGGTTGGGAAGGGATGAAGTAGTTGTCACGTACATTCATTAAAAGCAACAAAATAAAGCTTGCAACTGAAAATCAAGATTCAACGCAGAATCATCAATATCACTCTTGGTGTTGGTGGTATAGCGAGCTGTGCGTTTCATCCGTTCCTGGAACTGAAGAAGCTCCCAGCACGTGGAATGAAACGTCAGACATCGTGCCGAACAACACGTGGCACAACGCAGAAAACACACCGGCGAGGTTATTGGCGTTTGTTTAAATAAATTAGGGGCCGTCCATAAATGACGTCACACGATTTTGGACGATATTTGACCCCCCCTTCGTCACAAAAAGTCAGACCCCCCCCCCTCAAATATGACGTCACAAAGCTCTGCCCCCTCCCCCCCCCCCAACAATAAAACATGCTTCAAATCGCTTTAAATTATTGCCATTGTAGTGCGTATTTAATGTGGCGCTGCACTGATTTTGTAGGAGAAAACATTTATTAAAAATGCTATTTAATTAAGTAGAACGTGATAATTGTTTTTTTTTTACCCTTTTATCTGGCAACAAAACTGACACCTTTTTTACAAGGAGTCATGTTTACATTGACCACAATACCTGCGGTCGGAACGCAAACAAAAAACAACAACTCTGATAATGTATGTGCCACTGTCCTTGAAATTGATTGGTCCACACCCGAGACAGCTTTCTTTGTCTCACATGGTGTTGGACCAGAAGACGCCAAAAGGCGCCAGATAAAAGGGTAAAAAAAACAAATATATTTTGTTACAGGCAAATGAGGTTTCCAATGGTGTAAGTAGAACGTGTTGTCTATATTTATTTAAAGTTGCGCATTTTGATGTGACGTCACATTTCTCAAACCCCCCCCCCCCCCATCGTCACAAATGTCTGACCCCCCCCTTCCCCCAGGTGCGTGACGTCATTTATGGACGGCCCCTGAGATAAACCTCCCATTACAAGCCGACAGTAGACACGTCGTAGCTTAAATTTCGATTTAAAGCTTTCGTGACAGCAAGGATTCATCTTCTTTGGTTCTTTCGGTAAAGTCACGTACAATGAGAATAAAATAATAAATTGATAAAATAAAATAACAATAATATTCTCACGACGCTTCGGCCACAACACAAGCGGCCTTCATCAGGCGAAGGGACGAGACTGTCTGACGAGACTGTCTGGAGGACAGCGCTGTCCTACCAGACAGCCTCGTCCCTTCGCCTGATGAAGGCCGCTTGTGTTGTGGCCGAAGCCTCGTGAGAATTTTATTGTGTTATTTTATTTTATCAATTTATTATTTTATTCTCATTCTACGTGACTTTACCGAAAGAACCAAAGAAGACGTCGTAGTTTCTTCCATTGCCCACGAGGTGGCGCAGTTTGATCACGGCTGACAGAATCCTACAGGGCAGGGATTGCACGTGGGCATCTCTCGCCAAGAAAGACCATGCATGCAGATCAGAGCACTGCCAAACAGTGACCCGCACGTTTGACTGGCAGCATGGGATACCTGTCAACCCCTTATCAATGCCTATCTTATTACAGACCAATTCGGACCTATACATCTCAACGTTCATTCTGCAAAATCCCATCACAAGTGAAAAACACAAATAGACAAAAACGTTTGTTTTGTTTGCTTGTATTGAAACGGCTGTACGCCGTATGGACCTGAAAACTCAATTTCCCTGCACAAGAATGCGGGGAAACTGTATGGGTTGACAGGTATAGCAACGAGAGGTCATGCATCACGGGATGCATTCACCATTAAGACCAGCAGTGACATGCTAGGGGAGCGCGATGGCGAGATGTTAACTCCCTCACCTGGTATGCAGGTCACGGATTCGATCCTGCCCCTAACGCCTGTACAGTAGACTCTCGATTATCCACGTGCGGTTTATCCGATTTGTGTATTAACCGCGCGCCTGAGATTTTGACGTAAATTAATGACTCGTGGATTTTCCCTGAAGCCCAAATGAATCATCTCAAAACAGTTAAACATTGTTATTCTTGGAAATGTCTATTACAAGTCACGTGCTTAAACCGAACAAATATGTGCTCCAGTTAATCCAAAATCCACGTGATCGCCTCTACAGTACAGAAGTTGCAAAGCTTTACAACAGTGGGTGGAGTTTGATTGATGTTGATTGGTGTGGCTCTCCTGCGGTCCACTTAGTCTTCTGCGCGGGAGCAGGAAAGTGTTATTACCAAGCACGCGCATCGATCGATCGATCGTCAGTATTCGTTAACAAACTACATTTTCTTAACTTAAACATCATTTGTACCCATATTAGCGGTTTTTGGTATAGAGATTCGCGGAAAATTTATATTTTTGGATAATCCGTGATTTTGAATTATCCGCAGCCATCCTCCCCGTCATTAGCACGGATAATCGAGTCTACTGTATGTTTGGAGTGTGCATGTTCTCCCTGTGGGGAGAACATGCACACTCCAAACATACAGTAGACTCGATGCATGTTCTCCCTGTGGAGAACATGCAAACTCCGGTTTTTCCTTCCACATTTAGAAACACGAGTTTAGAGTATTTCGCCGCGATACATTTCCGCGCGATAAGCCACTTCGGCGGAGCAATTATTTATGGTTAGGTCGCTTCTGAAAAATATCTATATAGCAACTGTGGGCCTTACCTGGTACAATAAAAAAAAATGTTTCACAGTTTATGCTCACATGTCGAGCAGCAGGAAGGCAGTGAGCGACACATAGCAGGACGAGCCAGCCACGAAGGTGATTGTGGCGAGACACAGCTGAAGGACGAAGGCAAGAAGCAGCAAGCGGTAGTATCCGACGCGGTGCAGCAAGCCTTGGCTGCACAGCACCAGGATCTGTGGGCACAGACACGGGCGGTGGAGAGCGAGTACTGGGACGAGTGAATCAGAGGGTCACAGTTGGTGTCTGCACACGTTTTGAGTGCCCCAGATTGGTGGTCGTAATGTTTGAGTGTGTGAAATTGGGTGAATGGGTGTGTCAACGCATGAGTCAGCGTATAGGTGGATGAAGAGGGGAGCTGTATGCGTAAGTGGATGAGTGATTGGACGAATGCTCCGTGGACATGAGAATGAGTAGGCTGATGAGACCCACATGTACACAAATTAAAGAAAAAACACAACACAACTCAGCCTTAATAATAATACTTTCATTTTATATAGCGTCATTGATGCGAATAACATTCCACAATGCTGTACATTCATTATATAAAAAGACCAAATCCCATATACAGCCAGTACCAAGCAAAGCCTACCACCAATTAATAATCAGAATACTTGTTCCTGGAGAAATCCAATGAGCTACAAAGCTCTTTGTCACAGATGTCTAGTAGGAGTGGGTTATAATGTTACAACCAACAATGCAAAACCACGATAGTCATACAAAGTATAAGAAAGGTAAACAAATCAACCCTAAACATATAGATTAAACTGACCCATGCCCATCATAGCAGGCAAATCCCAATGAGGTATTAACCTATTTGTTCGAAGCGACCTGGCCACAAATTACAGCTCAACCAAAGTGGATTTTCACGTGGAAATGTAAAGCAGCAAATGGCACCAAAACAAAAAGCACAAACAATAAAAAAAAAAGTTACCACAACGAGGAAATTAGTCCATTCACCAACACACATACGCACGGCCTCTCAATGGCCCCCTCCCTCACCTGCGGACACATGAAGCCCGCTCCGTAGAGCACGCTCTGCGCTCGCGTGGGCATCGTAGCAGCCGGCAGCAGCTGCTCGGCAAATATGAGCGTGAAGCTGCTTGAGAAGGTGACGTGCAGGACTTGCAGGAAGTTCATGGCGACGAACAGAAGGAAGTCCCGCTGCCGCATGATCTGCAGCGACAGTAAGACGGCCGACGCCTGGGGCAGGGCTTTGCCGTCTGCACAGAGCAGGGGATGCAGTGCAGATGCTTTGCGTGAATGCACAGAGCTGCAGTTCATAGACACAGGGAGTTCCGCGCCCTGCGGATGTGTTGCCGATTGGATATCCTTCGCTTAATGGGCAGGAACTGGGTGCTGATCGTGAGATGTGTGGTGGTGGCTAGGGGAGGCTCTCAACATGGCTGACGATGAGGGCTCATGAAATACGAGGGTGCACCGTGCTATACAATAGGCCATGTTTAGCCAGCACTTTGTCGATATGCACACACGAAGGGTTCAAAGCTCTCTTCAGTAAAAGGCTCACGGGTCTAATTCCCTGGTTAATATCTGCTTTAGCCAAATGTTCTAGATCAACAGCTCTCGAAAACACCAGGCTCAAAACCCCAACTCAGCTCGTTTGCATACAAGATCCAGCAGAAGCTAGGCACGGCACCTTTAAGAAGTGGAGTGTCTTGAGGTTCTGGGTTGCTGGCGGTGGCGTGGCTGGAAAGCTTATCAGTGGCAGACACCACATGGATGCCCGTGTAGCGCATGCAGAGCCACGCGATGCAGGCCGCCAACACGCAATACCACTGCATGGTGGAAAACACGGTCATGTTGTTCGTGATGAGGCCACACAGTAGCACCGAGCCCGAGCCCAGGAATGAGGCCACCTGTCCAGACACGGAAGGCCATCGAAGAGCACGGTTACTTTTATACTCACATAAATTCAATGTACCAAAGGACTGAAAGCCTCGTTAACCTTTTTTGCATCGAAGACCTGAATATATATTTTTTAATGTGGGATTTGTGCTGTGCCACTGCAAATGTGGTACTACGCCTCTGGTTTATGGTAGATGCTGAATTTTAATAATGCTCTGCAAGTGGGATAAGATAGTGACGGGGGTAGGGACAAGACAGCTGTGGAAATTAAACTGCCATTTCTGTCGACAAAAGCAAATGTGAGGATCACAATCTTTCAAAATGTTTTGACATATTCCAATATATATAAAAAAAAAATTCACCGTCAGCCTACCATAGGAACGTTGCCTGCTGGGAAGCTTCCATCGGCCTGTGTGCGAATGTCTGCCTGCGTCGGCGCATCTGCCGTATGCATGTACATACGCCGACCTTCTTTCGCAGCGCGCATAAGCCAACCGTGCTAATCGGAGGTGTTGGTGCATCTGTCTGCGCTGCACCTGGCTGTACTTGAGCAGCGTGAGGCGGTCGCTGTGCCGGCCGGAAATCTCGGCAAAGAGCGCGCACTGCGCCAGCAGCACGAACGTGAGCGCGCCGTCGAAGGCGCACAGGGCTACCAGCAGGTGCACTCCTGCCAGCGGGTCGCCCGGCCCATAGCCCCCGCTCCGCCACGGGAACCAGGGCAACAGGAAGGCGACGGCGTAGAGCGTGGCGCCGTACGCAATGGCCAAGCGCCGGCTACGGCAGCATGCCCAGCTGCCCGTGTCCTGCTCGGCACCGTCGAGGGAGATAAATGAGGGTCGTGGGAAGAAGCGTGCAGACGCGCCCGCTCTCTCCGTGGCGTGATCCTCGTCAGGCGTTAGTGACAAAAATGTGGAGGTGACCAGGAGGTTTAGAGGTCAGTTCGCTGAGCTGGTGCCGCCGAGATCCTGGGCATCCAAGCAGTCGCCTTAGCTTAAACCAGGTTCTGAAGTGTAGTGAAGTCATTGTCTCAGCACGGTCACCAATGACTGAACAAAACATTGACTGAACAAAACACATCAAAATTTGACTCTGCAATTAATTTGGCCAAATTCCAGCAGGATAATGACAATATCGGTTTGACTAATGCAACAAACATTACTAAAAGGATGATTAATGGCCTCACCTGGAGATATCCGAACAGCGGGTCATTGACAGCATTCCACACCATGTAGACAACCTGCGAAGAACCCAATCAAAAGTCAGCGGACGCTGAAAAACCAGGACAAATGGGAATATGACAACTCCAGAATGGAATCTTTTACGTGTAAAATGCTGCTTTCGCAATGCTAACACGCATTGCCTCCTGAAACAGTCTGCCTCAGCAGCAGACCAAGGCTTTCCCACCTGATGATGGACGATTGTGTTGCGCCCGAAACGTCGCGATTTATTTTATTTTATACCTACGTGACTTTACCGAAAGCACCAAAGAGTATGATTAAGAAAATAAACATTTGCGAGATGGAATTCCCAAGTGCAATCCCTCTCCGATTGTTTTGCTTTCGGCAACGCCCGGGGGGCAGCAGTACCTGCGCTCGGTGAAAGTCGACCTCGGAGATGTGGTACTGGCTGAGGAACAGCTTGACATAGTAGAAGCTGAAGATGCTGTTGATGATACTGGCCCCGGCGGTGGTCATGGAGTACGCCAGGGCATTGCCGTTGAGTTGGCAGAAGCCCCTCATGGCTGTGCTCTGCAACAAAAAAGACCCGGACAGCCACGTGGCCAAACGTTACATATCACCAAGTCAACATAATTCTGGGTCAACCCACGTCACCACAACACTGGTCACTGCGGATTTGTGAAGGCAGTGGAGGCCGGACACGTGAGTAAATACGTACAACAGTACAAGTGAGTTTTGCATTGTCCTCTGCAGCTCGCCACGTGACGTGTTGGTGCATGGCGGTCACGCATCCAAGCACCGAGACATAACGAGATCGGGTGCATTGCGAGTGATTTCGTCATAGTCTGCGTTCCTTCAACCGAGGTGCAGTAGGGCAAAGCTATACGAGCTCTCTCCTGAAGCCCTCTCATGGCCAACAGACCTTGTTTGACATTGGCATTTATGTCCTGAACATATTGCCAAGCGCAAGAATAGAGTAGGCATGCTCACATGGCTTGGGATGCAGATGCATCTGCGTGCATGATTGCCTACAGCAGGCATGCCTAAGGGTTAGACTATAAAAAAGCACACGTCCAGTTTTACGGCGATCGTAAATAACTTTCTACCTTTTTAAAGGTGACGAATGGAATTGGCCAAGTAAACCAAATGCAGGTCCTTTTTGAGTCATAAGGATCATACTGTGTAGGAACCTCCTGGTTACACCAGCCCACAGGGGATTATTGTGTCCGTCCGTAGTGCATCCAAAAATGGGAGGGGTGGGGCTGGGTGGGGAGAGAGGGGCTGGATGGGGAGGGGCTGGGTGGGGAGGGTGGGGAGGGGCTGGGTGGGGTGGGGCTGGGTGGGGAGGGGAGGGTGGGGAGGGGCTGGGTGGGGAGGGGCTGGGTGGGGAGGGGCTGGGTGGGGTGGGGCTGGGTGGGGAGGGTGGGGCTGGGTGGGGAGGGGCTGGACACCCCGTGGTGCCCTTATAAAACTCAACGTTTCACCTACTCACGCCGGCTTGTGCCCGCCCTCACAGTCGGACATATTGTGTGGAATACACCACGTGGTGCCGCCGCCGTTGACCCTGGCCATTGACCGAGCAACCCGACGTTCCTACCAGCTCCCTCCGCAGGAATGTGTTAAGACTTTTCCTGTGTATATAGCATTATCCATCCTGTCACATGCTAATAAATTTGAAGCTGACAAAATATATCTCCCCAGAACTGGATCTACACGTCCTGCCTGCCCTTGGCTTACAAAGATATATGGATAACTTGTTGTGTATCTGTAGAGAGCTCACAAGACATCGAGGACGATGCTAGCTCCGGTCATGCTGAACACTGTCTGTGCCCATTCCTTCGTTAGTATTCCATAACAAGTTAAACGACGACAAGTGTTTACATACAATTCTGTGTTAAGACGCCTTACAAATATGCGACGGCAAAAAAAAAAGAAATAACCTCCCTACATTTATCACGCGAGAACTTCGGTCATCCTCGCAGCAACAGCAGCTAAAGCAGCAGCAAAAGCAGCTAAAGCAGCTACAGCAGCAGCAACAGCAGCTACAGCAGCAGCAACAGTAACAGCAGCTACAGCAACAGCAGCTACAGCAGCAGCAACAGCAACTAAAGCAGCTAAAGCAACAGCAGCTAAAGCAGCTACAGCAGCAGCAACAGCAGCTACAGCAGCAGTAACAGCAGCTACAGCAGCAGCAACAGCAGTTACAGCAGCAGCAACAGCAGCTAAAGCAGCTAAAGCAGCTACAACAGCAGCTAAAGCAGCTACAGCAGCAGCAACAGCAGCTACGCCAGCAACAGCAGCAGTAGCTACGGCAGCAACAGCAGCAGCAACAGCAGCAGCAGCAGCAACAGCAGCAGCAACAGCAGCAGTAGCTACGGCAGCAACAGCAGCAGCAACAGCAGCAGCAACAGCAGCAGTAGCTACGGCAGCAACAGCAGCTACAGCATCAGCGGCTACAGCAACAGCAGCAGTAGCTACGGCAGCTACAGCATCAGCAGCTACAGCATCAGCGGTTACAGCAACAGCAGCAGTAGCTACGGCAGCAACAGCAGCAGCAACAGCAGCTACAGCGGCTACAGCAACAGCAGCTACAGCATCAGCGGCTACAGCAACAGCAGCTACAGCATCAGCGACTACAACAGTAGGAGCAACAACAGCAGGAGCTACGGCAGCAACAGCATCAGCGGCTACAGCAACAGCAGCAGTAGCTACGGCAGCAACAGCAGCAGCAACAGCAGCTACAGCATCAGAGGCAACAGCAGCAACAACAGCAGCAGTAGCTACGGCAGCAACTTTTGGCTCAGCCATAGACCGGCATCGCGCGGCGCTTTCAGACGCGCTTCTGCGTCCGTCTGGAACGCTCTTCTCCTTCCCGATGTTAGGGAGCCACTCATGGGAGCTATGGTGCACGTTGTATTAATCTAGATTGTAATGCTATACGCAGGCGTGCGTAATACACGACCGTACACGGCCGCCTTTGTCTCTCCACGCTGACCGTTTACACAACGCGCGAGGCACCTCTACGGGAGGCCCAGGCCGGCCCTGGGCCGGTTCACGCGGTCGTCACCGTCGCTGGCCGTGAGCAGTGATGCCCGTCTCGTGTCACCGTAGCGCAGGGCGCTCACCACCACCACCCCCCATCACCACCACTCCACTCGCCCATCAAAACCAAACGCGGACTTAGCCACAAGCGCAATCTCTTTGGCAGTCGACGCAACTCGGCGTTCGTCCCCGTGCAGCAAACGCGGCGCGTGAACGACGGCCTGCAATGCTTACCTGGGCCCAACGCAAACGCTTGCACCCTGAACCCCCCCCCTGCCCCCCGCAACAACAACCCAAACTCAACACCGCTCCCCCCACTCATGCGCTGGAGCCGGTGCGAGTTAAAACGCCGCCTTTGTATTTGCAAGCGCGCTTGGGGGCGCCACTCGCGCCAACTGCACCAATGGGAGATTGCCAATGCGCGCTACGAAATGCAACCCCTGGACTGCGCGGGGCACCGCTTCCGGTAAGCGAGAGGTGCCAATGGAATGCGTAGAGCGGATAGGCACGAGGGACAGCTACCGATAGAAACCGTAGTGCGGATAGGCACGAGGGACAGCTGCCGATAGAAACCGTACAGCGGATAGACACCAGGTACAGCTGCCGATAGAATCCGTAGAGCGGATAGACGCGAGGTACAGCTGCCGATAGAATCCGTAGAGCGGATAGACGCGAGGTACAGCTGCCGATAGAATCCGTAGAGCGGACAGACGCGAGGTACAGCTGCCGATAGAATCCGTAGAGCGGATAGACGCGAGGTACAGCTGCCGATATAATCCGTAGAGCGGACAGACGCGAGGTAAAGCTGCCGATAGAATCCGTAGAGCGGATAGACGCGAGGGACAGCTGCCGATAGAATCCGTACAGCGTATAGACATACAGCGCAGTGTAAATACACGCACGGGTCAACGAGACGAGATGAATAGAAGAAACGTTGAATGAAACGTCGTTTTAAAACAGTGCGCACTTACATTGCGCGGAAGCCTTGTCAGCAGGCAGTCTCTATCCACTGCTTGAGCTATTGCCGAGCAAGTATATCCGTTGGGGGACCACCTCGCGGTTGAGTACCCCACGACAATTAACAAGGAGAAAGAGAGCGGAAAGCTGATTTTATCGACCCCTGGGAGGAAAGCGATGATGGGCCGAGGCAACCTCCCAGCAGCCAGTATTATTTTTTTTAAAACTCAACAACGCTCACCATTGCCAGCCGCCGCTTGGCGGTTGACAACGAAACGCGTGGACATGAGACATTAAACATAAAATAAATCACGACGTTTCGGGCGCAACACACCTGATGGACGGACGCTTGTGTTGCGCCCGAAACGTCGTGATTTATTTCATTTAATACCCACGCGAATTTACCGAAAGAACCGAAGAAGTATGGATTCCTGCAGTCACGAAAGCTTCAAATCAAGAGTGATGAAACATAACGCGAGCACAAATTCCACGTCTGTGTCTCGGCATTGTCATTCAAACGTTATTCTTTGCCCCGTCACCCTATGGCGTGGCTTTTCCGGTCCCGTCATATTTCAGCAGGGCTTTGATCACACCGAGCACAGTCTCTGCCGCTTTAGACCTTCTGGGTCTCATCAGTGAGGCGCGTCAAACGAATGCCCTCTGAACTCACCGTCAGCCGCATGGTCAAATCCACCGTTGGACGAAGGCGTCCCCCCCCCAGCCGGAGCCGAAGGATCCATCCAGCACCTAGCACACAAATTGATGGCATCACCTCCTTTGGTGGCTATCTCATAGCAGTCAACCCATACCCGTATTCTTGTACAGGGAAATTGAGTAAAAAAATGGTTGTTGTGTTGTCTTTGTTTGTGTTCTCAACTTGTGATGGGACTTTGCAGGATGAACGTTGATATTTATCAAGGCCGTAGCCATGGAGTCAACATTGGGGGGGACCAAATCTTCCAGGGTGTCTGGGGGTCCCGACCCAGAAAAATATCTACATTTGAAAACTCATTTCCTGCCTAAAATTTTAAAAAAATTCACTAACACATGGGATAGACTTTTCATTTTTTTTACAATAATGTCTAATAGTGTATTGTATTACATTGCTCTGTTTTTACTTTTTTTACCGTTTCTTGTTTCATTGTATGTAATGGCAGAGATTAGGGATTAATAAAGTACAACCATAACCACAATCATATAAACAGAAATCTAAGCATTGATTTAAAGGAAGACAAGTCCAGATATTGTGGCCAAGGTTTAGCAAATTGTTGTTTTTATTTACATAGCATAGCAATTTTTATAGCAATATATTGGGAGGGACATTATAATTACGGCCTTGATATTTATAAGGGCACGGGGTGACGAATACGGTCTGAACTGGTTTGTAATAAAGTAGGCACTGATAAGTGGTTGACAGGTTTACTATCTTCTCAGGCGCGTTCCACTCCCTGGATACTTATACCTTCCACGCAAAGCGTGTAAATAATTATAATTACCAGGTCGTATTGGCAAAAGCAGTCTATCAGTATATATTTACGTTTCGGAGTGGAGACAGAATCGAGATCTACTCTTCCAATCAATTACCCACAGTAACGCGTCATGAGGGATGTAGAGACATGGAATCGCATTGTAATCTGTCTTGCAGATCATCATCATAAAGCCATGATCAATCCACTGGTAGGTCAGATTCTTTATTTACACTGGAGGAATCCGATGAGCGATAAAGCTCTTTTCCACAGACGTCCAGTAGGGATGAAGATGATACAATACTCTTTGGTTCTTACGGTAAAGTCACGTAGGTAGAAAAAATAAAATAAAACCAAAAATATATATCACGACGTTTCGATCTTAACACAAGCGGTCGTCCTCTGCTGGTTCAGCAGTTCCATTGCTGCATTATTATTTTTTTCGCCTGAGGACGACCGCTTGTGTTGCGATCGAAACGTCATGATATTTTATTGTTATTAATTTTTTCTACCTACGTGACTTTACCGAAATAACCAAAGAGTATGGATTCCTGCAGTCACGAAAGCTTCAAATCTGTCTGGGGGAACAATTGAAAAAAAGCGTCGAAAAGGGAGCAATTGAAAAAAGTGATGCCCTAAGAATTTGACTTCCATGACACTTGGATGTCTCTGCCTTCGAGCACAGAGAGAGAGAGGGCAGAGCATTTACTGTGGTTGGAGATTTATAGGACACCGGAGATAAGTTTTGTACGATTCAAGTCGTCTGCATCTAAGCTTAAACTAAAAACCAAACTATTTTTACTTTACCAGGTACGGTCCATTGAGCTATATAGCTCTTTTTCAGAAGCGACCTGACCACAAATGATAGCTTAACAAAGTAGCTTATCATGTGGAAATTTATGGCAACCAAATTTTATAAACGCAATGTTGATTCGAAATGTAGAGACGCAGACAAAAACGATGGCTTGCGATAACAGCTGCCCTTTGGCAGTGGCATAACACATTCCTACGAAGGGAGCTGGTAGGAACGTTGGGGTGCTGGGTCAATGGCCAGGGTCAACGGCGGCACCACGTGGTGTATTCCGCAAATATGCCCGACTGTGAGGGCGGGCACAAGCCGGCGTGAGTAGGTTAAACGTTGAGTTTTATAAGGGCACCACGGGGTGACCAGCCCCTCCCCACCCAGCCCCACCCTCCCCACCCTGCCCACCCAGCCCCTCCCCACCAGCCCCACTCTCCCCACCCAGCCCCTCCCCACCCTCCCCTCCCCACCCAGCCCCTCCCTCCCTCCCCACCCAGCCCCTCCCTCCCTCCCCACCCAGCCCCTCCCTCCCTCCCCACCCAGCCCCTCCCTCCCTCCCCACCCAGCCCCTTCCTCCCTCCCCACCCAGCCCCTCCCCACGCTCCCCTCTCTACCCAGCCCCACCCCTCCCATTTTTGGATGTCACGACGGACGGACGGACACAATAATCCCCTGTGGGCTGCTGGTGTAACCAGGAGGTTCCTACCAGTATAAACACGATAACTGACACACAAACAACTCAACAGCGCTCCTCAATAAGACCGTGGTCTCAAAACGAAAAGTATATACAGTGGCACCTCGGTATATGTCGTTAATTCGTTCCAGAAGGTAGGAGGACTTATACCGAAAGCGACGTCTACCAAAAAAAATTCCCTTAAGAAATGAAGGGAAAGGAAATAATCCGTTCCAGAGTATAAGAAATAATATTTTATATGGCATAGTATACATTAATGGGGTTTTATAACATAATTTAGACACTATTTATTACTAAAATGCATACATAAATTAAAATAAATGCATAAATAAATTAAAATAATTGAAATAAAAATACAATTTAATATCACTTTACCCTGCTGAGAGGAGTTGATAGCCAACGAGGATGGTGGTGAGGAAGGGGAGGAGGAGGAGGATGTTATTTTTTTGGCAAGAGAAAAAATGCGAGAACTTCAGGAAGCTGAAATTATGGGGTTTTTTTTCTTCTCTTTCTCTTTTCCGTCTTTTTTCTTGACTTAGACCTGGTCGAGGCTCACCAGGTTTGAAGTTTTTACTAAAAACCTGCCCATTGAAGTTTGTTTTTGCCTTCTTCTAAGAATGAACGAGATCTACAGGCAGACTGAGGAGCGACGCTTTGTCTCAGTCGTGAACGGGGTACACGCGGGTACGCGGAGACTCAATCGCGACCCATACAAGTTCTAGCAAGCGTGTCGTATCCCAAGCAAGACGTCGTATCCCAAGACATCTTTTTCTCGTCAAAACACGACGTGTACCAAATTCGACGTATTCCAAAGCGGCCGTATACCGAGGTACCACTGTAACATTATCCCGTATCGGAGGTGCAACTGCCTATTCCAACGGGGGGAGGCTATGCAAGATAACACTGTGGGCCTCCCTTATTTCATCCCGACTCACCTGAAATATTTACGGATGTTTGTTTACCCGTCAAAAAGATAATACGTAGGCTACAACTTCACATATTGCTTTAGTTGCACCGTGTATTGGGTTTAGGGAGAAGAAAGACTCACAGTGGCAGTATTGATTATATTTGAAGGTAACGATACTCACAATTAAGTTGTCGTGCGTCTGTCTTTGCTTTCATGCCGGCCTCATCGGTCTAGGATTGCATCAAAGGGGGCAGATTTTTGCAAACTTCATGCTGTTCTATTGATACCGTAGCCAGAAGCGTTAATCGGGCTTGGTCCATAGTAGACCGCAGATAATGTTTGTTATGAATACATTTGTCAAATAACATTTCTTTAAAATGTTGTACTTGTTTATGTGTTGATTCGGGGGGTCCCCTTGTGGCCGAACTGGGGCCCCGATGCGTTGCATAACGCTGCCACATTTACTCACCCAGAGTCGCCCCCCTTGATCCGTATTGAAAGGATGTTTCCCGCGTCCCCTGCAAGTATTTCAAAGCAAAAGTTGGCGGCGTGAACCTTTCTCACTTTTAGCTGAGTACCTGTGCTGGTGTGGGCGCCCCCTCTTCCCGGCCTGGCAGCTATCTACAAGCATAAAAAAACGGAACTCTTTGTGTCGGCGAGGCGGTGAGAGTGTTCCATTGCAAAGGAAAAATAAAGCTCAAGGGAGTCGATACAACGA